GTAGCTACTGATGATATTGTCGTAGGGACTTTACTCGATCATTTGAAAGCAAAATCATACTCTTTGATTTCCGTTTGATTATGTGTCATTATAAACCATGTCAGATAGAACTATAGATCCATAGGTGTCCCCTGAAGCTCTGGTTCCATCTTCTTTCACGTTTTAATTTTTACTGCTAACAATATTTGGATTGTCTGTCAAATTTTGCATTCATAAAAAAATGCAAGCTGACGCAAACCACTTTTCAAACGATTGTATATTGGAAGATATCCGTTTAAATTTTTTGGCAGAGTTCAACATTTTGATACGAAGCTGAACTTATATGATGTCAGCGCAAATTATTTCTAAAAGGACTGTATACTGACATCCATTTATAAGGGACAATTACTACGTTTACATCATATGGTTTATTTTTTTTGTATGCTGTGAATGAAAATTGCACTACGTGATATGCGTGTACATTTAAACTGGAAGGAACAAAAAAATACGCTGTCAGAACGAGGTCCCATAATGTCTTTTCCATAACTAAATTGTACATACCGACGGTACCAGAGGCAGAGGCAATACGGGGCCACAAGTCAGCGCACTCCTTGGCAACGGGTCCAGTGATGGCAGATCCCTTCATTTCACCCTTGGGCTATAATACAAACAAGATGTGAGTGAATTGTTCTCGCGCAACAGACGTTGTTTTGATAGCTAGAATTGGTGTTGACAACCAGTCATCCCATCTTGACTATTACAAACTATACTCCCAATCTGGCATTTATACTTACGTTAACAATGACACCAGCGTTGTCTTCGAAGTACAAGAAGACACCGTCTCTACGGCGCCAAGCCTTGCGTTGACGGACAACGACGGCGGGCATAACCTTCTTTCTCAATTCGGGCTTACCCTTCTTGACGGTAGCGACGATCATGTCACCGGGAGCAGCAGCGGGGAGTCTGTTAAGACGACCCTTGATACCGCGGACAGCGATGATGTAAAGGTTCTGCGATGAACACAGCGTCAGTACGATATTTCCATAAAGTGTTTGAGAGCTAGTTACTTTCAAGAAAGACTCACCTTAGCGCCAGAGTTATCGGCAGAGTTCTATATGTGGGATAGAATAATGTTCAAAGAATCCAGTTAGTACCTACTGCACCTACAGCTTGTAGTAGTTATAAAAATGAACAGCATTCATACCATGACGGCGCCTATAAACGGAAGAAACAACGTTAGAATTCGCTATTTTCGATGTCAAATCAAATAATCGTAACGATACATACCGACGGGCATACCAAGAGTCATACGGTACTTGTTACCAGTAACACCGATTCCTATGATAAAAAATAGGAAATAAAGGTCAGTATAACTTGTATAGTCATTGCTTCTTTAATTGTGCTGTTCACGGCGTCGGCGGTCAGAAATTGTCTATAACTGTATAGACATTTTGTTTATAGCCAGATGCATGGCATCGTCGGAAGGTGGTTTTCGTATTTGTTACTCGTCAAACAGTTCGCTAAATAATTGTTCTTTCGGGTAGCGCCTTGTAATGTCGAATTCATGGCAGTGTTAATGCCGTTCGAGAATTATAATCATCGAATTGGAGAATGTGATATTTTCGCGAGTTTCATTTTTCGTCTATCCATCCATCCATCCACATACACATCAATCCACGTACACATATGTGTACCCCGTGGAAAATAAGTTTACGGTACTCACTGTTGGACATGACTGATGATAGGATGCAAAAAAGAGGAGGCTACAACCCCATTGCAAGCTGACTGAGGAAAATCTTACAGCGTCTGGAAGTATAGCCAATCAAAACATAGCTGAGCTCCAAAACCCTATTCTCGACCATTTCAACATGAACTCGTATACACTGAAGGTACAACCTTTGCCCACCGTCTTTGCGAATATTATTCTATTATCAACTTACTGCAAATAGAATGAACATCCGGTAAAGATTCTGCTGATATTCGAATCTCATCTTATTTTTTCAGCTCATATTAGTACAAGCAATATACAACGCGCTCTCGAAGCAATCATCGCTTCATTACTTTCAAAGGTGATGGCATAAATACGCAAGGGAACAAACATTCATCATACCAATATTTTACACATGCAGAATAGAACCATTAACGTGAACTGTAACATTTCATTTTGCATCAATTGAATAGATGACATGGTGCCTTTTTAGATCTGTCACCAATTTCGAGTTATACTCGTATTATCCGAGTGAAATTCATGCTGAAAGCATGCTAAACTTGGACTTCTCATGTTATGAAATCTTGCGTTTCTACGGAAGAATGTGACAAAGTTGGGCTTTAAATGGGTATACTTCATTTTAATCGCAAAACTTGGGTTGCATTATGATGCCTGCACACATTTGGAAGAATATACAATGATAGAAAACATTTCATTGCTTATACATAGGCGCTAATAGTTCACAGTTATCATAGCTTGATACGTGGTAGACGACATGAGCGCTATGGGGCTGAGAATTGGATATGCCGCGTTGGCTAGTCTAAGGTCAGACATCTTATGTCATAAGATATATTCTGTATTTCTATGAAGCCTTTGAGCAGTAGAGCATAAGGTTGGTCTCTCATTCGAAATTTTATTAATAGAGCACTAGAAGTTGCGATTGAGCTAGTAGTTTCAACTTGAAAGCTCGAGATCTACATTGTCCGTGGATTTAGGGACAGGAAGGACGTACTACAAAAATTTGGGAGAGAAAATATCCCCTCTTGATTTCTCAAACTCGCCAAAATTTCAAAACTCAGCTCCAGTACTAAAACCTTCACTATCAGACATCTATAGCTTCCTTCTTTTGTAACCTTCATCAAAAATGAGCGGAAGTACGTTAAACTTTCATCTTAATTTATTAATGGTATGATGGAATGAGTGAATGGATGGATGGATGGATGGATGCTGCGAGCAAACTACACCGAAGCGATATTTCGACCTTTTCCATTGAGGTTGAGAAATTCGAATCAAGATGCTCCAATGAGCACATCAAGAGAACTGCAGAAAGGAGCAACACACAACGCCGGCACAGTTGCTTCGACTACAGAACAATAAAACTCTCAATGCTGCAGCATCGACGGCCAACTTTAGTTGGATCGGATTTGCTTGAAGCAAGAGCCAAATAGGTCCCTAAAAAAATTGCTAGCTGCTTCCTTTACCAACTGTAACGGCATAACTTTGCCTAGGGCCGTTCTACTCGCAGAGCAACATTACGCCTTGCTGTCAAGCTGCCAACCTATATCGACTTCCTCCATTTTACTCATTCTATCATAGGGGTGGATCGCGGTGCGATATATACATACTATATACACGTGACCATTGCCTTATTCCTATCACTTTATGAGGACGACTCGTAAAGCTGTTTGGCAAAAGAAACTAATACAACATTGTTACTTTAGGAATCGGTGTTACTGGTAACAAGTACCGTATGACTCTTGGTATGCCCGTCGGTATGTATCTTTGATGACTGTTTTGATGAAGTGGTTGTAGAACAGTTCTAATTGCTCTTCCGTTTATAGGCGCCGTCATGGTATGAATGCTATTCTTTTTTCTATAATAGCCTCAAAGCTGTAAGCACAACAAGTCCTAACTGTATTTGTTTATAATTTTCCCACATGTAGAACTCTGCCGATAACTCTGGTGCTAAGGTGAGTCACTTTGAAAGTAAATTGGCTGTCGACAAACTCATTGAAGTATCGTACTAACGATGTGTTCATCATAGAACCTTTACATCATCGCTGTCCGCGGTATCAAGGGTCGTCTTAACAGACTCCCCGCTGCTGCTCCCGGTGACATGATCGTCGCTACCGTCAAGAAGGGTAAGCCTGAATTGAGAAAGAAGGTTATGCCCGCCGTCGTTGTCCGTCAACGCAAGGCTTGGCGCCGTAGAGACGGTGTCTTCTTGTACTTCGAAGACAACGCTGGTGTCATTGTTAACGTAAGTAGAAATGCCAGATTGGGAGTGTAGTTTGTAATAGTCAAGATGGGATGACTGGTTGTCAACACCAATCTACCTGTCAAAACAACGGCTGTTGCGCGAGAACAATTCACTCACATCTTATTTCTATTATAGCCCAAGGGTGAAATGAAGGGATCTGCCATCACTGGACCCGTTGCCAAGGAATGCGCTGACTTGTGGCCCCGTATTGCCTCTGCCTCTGGTACCGTCGTTTAAATGGATATTACTTTGCGATAATCAGAGTTACTGTAATCAAAAATAAACCCAATTTCGCGATCTACGACGAATTGTATTCAAAATGTGATCTTCAGTGCGCTTAGTTTAATCAGAAAGCCATCGACCTTTTTATTTATTTTGTTGCTGTACATTATTATGGATTGATGCTAAAGCTATTCTTCTCCGGCCATAACACGGCGGTATTTACGCTGGTCATCCAACATCATCTTGAACACCTTATATTTTCGCTCGTTGAGCGTTTTAATTTCTGAGTCTTCAGACGGATTAACAACGTCTCCAGCCTGTCCAAGCTTGATCATAACGTCCCAAAGATTGTCACTCAATCCCGCTGCCTTGGCTCCAAGGAAACCAGCACCAATGACGACAGCACCTTCGATGCTCTTTGGTAAGATGACTTTGCATCCCGTGATGTCTGCGTGAAGTTGGACAAAAATGGGGTTTTTGCAGAGACCGCCAGACAGACACAAAGTGTCGATGGTGTATCCGCAAGCGTTCAAAGACTCAATGATATGGCGAGTTTGACAAGAGATAGCTTGTAAAGTGGCCAAATACTTTACAGCGAGATCATCAACACTTGCATCAAGCGAGTGTCCAACGATGGTTCCGCGCAAAGTAGGGTCCGCCAATGGGGATCGATTTCCGTGGAAATCTGGATAGATATGCAGCTGAGAGACCAGCTGCTCAAGATACTTGTACTTGTGGCGCTGTTTCTTCTCTTCCAAGTAGGTATTCAAAAACGCATAGATGTTCATATCACGACTCTTGGCCAATTCCTTAGCCTCTTCGATGGCCGGATGCTTGCTGAGCATATGGTCAATGAGTTGACCGGTGGACGATTGCCCGCCTTCAGCACACCACATACCCGGAACCAAAACAGACTTATAAGGGCCCCAAACGCCTGGAACAAAGATTGCTTCGGGTGCCATGGCGATATGGCAGCTGGATGTGCCACAAATGATCGCCAAGCGGTTTGCACCTTGTTGTAACAGACTTTCCTTCGCCGGAAGGCGAGCCATTTCCTGTGCCTCTGCTCTTGAAGAACTTGCTCCAAGGGTTGCGATTGCGCCAGCGTATGCGTCAATGACAGCGGAGCCAACAGGGAGACCTTCAGGCAAGCCGAGATCTTGAGCGGCTTCTGCAGTGAGACCATTCCCTACTGGATCTCCAGCAAAGAGAAACTCTCCAGTTTCTCCAGGAATTCCTCCAAGCTTTTCGAACCCTTCGTCAGCTAGCTGACTTAATCCAATGGTCCTAAAGTAGTCGTCACTCCAACCTTTTGACTGTTCAATTCCAACTGGGACAAATGAGCACTTGCAGGTGACAGAGCATGTTGAACGAGCCAATGAACCAGTAGCACGGTAGGTAAGGTAGTCTGGAAGATCAAAAATATGACCAATGTTGCTGAATTTCTCGGCTGGCATATTTTCACTGAGCCAAAGAGTCTTGGGTATTTCCATCTCTGGACTAATGGTATTTCCGACATACTTTAGGACATTGTGATGAGTTGCATTGATGCGATTAGCCTGATCTATGGCTCTGTGGTCCGCCCAAAGGATAATGTTCCTCTCGTGATTACTGAAGTTGCTTTCTGGATCCACGCTGAGAGGGGCTCCCTGCTTGTCAGTTATAACCAAGGAGCAAGTTGCATCGAAACCTACTCCGCGAATAGCGTCAGGCTGAATTCCTGATTTTGACACGGCTTCCTTGACCGAAGTACAAATGCACTTCCATATGTTTTCAGTAGATTGCTCGTAGATTTCATGTCGCGGGTTCCAAGTTTTGGTAGGTTCAACGTGTAAACCAAGAACGTCACCGTGAGAGTCGATGACACAAGCTCGAGCAGAACTGTAGAATTCTTTGTTACGACCAAGGCTCTCTGTTGTATTAACTTGTTCAATGAAGATGAATGACTTACCCAGTCCCTATATCAATACCAACAAAATAATCCATGCTTGAGGTTTAAAACAGAAGAGAAAGTAGTAAAGCGTAAAGTGGTTTGGAACGGCGTTGTTTTTTAGCTGGGGATGATGGCGGAGCATGAACCACAACGTTCAGTCACAGCCCAGCCCAGCGACCTTTTGCACTAATCACCAAATGGGGAATATGGGCAAGGTGATGAAAGCGAACGACTTCTGCCTGTGAACATTGCGGGCGGGCGACGGCACCAGCAAGCAGGTACTCTACTAGTTCCCAATTATGGTGCATAATGATTTAAGCGCTCCTCATATGCTGTTACAAAGTTGTAGATCCGTCCAGCAGGATGGAGCATCAATCATATGGGATATCTTGAACTAAATAACACCTCTAGTACATTTTACGCCTTGAGCTAACTCAAACATTAAACTGACTCAATTTCTCTCTTTCTTCTCTGTTTTTTTACTGTTGGTGTATCCTTGGACATGTTCTCGAACTTGGGAAAGAGCAAGGCTTCAGCTATTGGTTATGAGCGGATTACAAAAATTTTTTATTTGCTGCCCAGCCAGCGACAATTTTTTGTTTGGAATTGCCAGCTTATTCGACAACAAGTAATTCAACATGGGTAACGTAAGTACTCGTTCAGTTGTACACTTCGAAGACATGAGCATTCGTTGATAGTCTATCCAACTTGTAGGGACAAAAAGCTCAAATGAAGCGTGACCGCAACGCAAAGGACGCCAAGAAGGGACCTACTTCGCAATTGAAAGCGGTTAGTGGCCAAAGAATTGTTTACCGCAACGGTCTTTCTGGATGCAAAACTAATTACTGTGCTATAATTTAGAATAATGCCGCTAAGAGCGTCATCTGCCAAACTTGCAAGCAAACCTTCTTGTGTACTATCCGTGCCAAGGCGTAAGTAGCATTTATTGGTACCTGAAAATTGTAACAAGCTAATTCAACTTTTGTTACTCACGTAGACTGACCGAGCATGCTGACAACAAGCATAGCAAGACTTTGGAGGATTGCTTCCCCGGTAAGGACATGCTCATGCTAATATTCAATAGACAGCGCAAATTAGACCTTTACTCAAACAAAATCTATAGGATTCGAAGAGCAAGCTAAATAAGAGAGAGGCAGATGTGGAGGGGCCTGTCAAAATAGCTTATATAGTTAATGAGAGGATGAAAACCGGAAGAGATAGATATCAAAATAGTACCGTATCAACGGTCATAGCATAGCCAGTTACATCAATTGTTTTATTCATTTATTTTGTATTTTTTTTTTTATCGAGGCGACACCGGAATAAACTGGTCCGGAACGAGTCTGCAAGGAATTGTGCAAGAGGTACGTTTTAATTTCAATAGCGGGATTGAAGTCAAGTTATAGTTCGATTCGCTTGGTTTTCTGTGGAATTGCAATTCTCTAGAAAATCTGCAAAGTCCAAACATGAGCTTAGAGATGCCGTGTCCGTCATTTCTTCATTCTTTTTACAAAGTTGCAAATAAGTGAATAAATTGATCTCATTACTCTATGTGATATAGGGATAATTATATACCTTGATTTTTCTTCTTTCGTCGGTCATCACCGCTTTGAAGACACTGAATGGAAACAATGCTTTTCTCCATATACGGATCAATAAGCATTCTTCAAAATACCTGCGCTTCCATTGAGACGGCCAAACTTTTCATTTCTGATCAGCACCCTTCGAATCTTCGATAGCCCCATGGTTATTTACCAGACTCACCAAGCCAATACGCCTCTGGGAATGCCAAAAGGGCTCTCGCTTTTCAGCATGCCCGGACGATTGGATTTTGATGGCCCCATCGAAAGCGATAGATCAGGAACAGACCCAGACTTTTCCCAATCAACTGATCTGTTCGGGATGGAAGATAAATTATAAGAGATAACAACTGGAACCAACCCAGAATTCAGAGCACTTTGGATTCCTTTTGGAAAGCTAATCTATACTATCTGTCTGCCGGCGACCAAGCTACGGGGTCTACAACGTTCGATGCAGAGTCTGTTCTCGTCTTCCTTCCACACACCTAGGAAAATACACAGTCTTACAATGAGGGAAAAAACCCAGGATAGTCTTGCTTCCAGCCACTCTGTATACACAAGTGCTCTTACATTCAAAAATGCTTCCATGACACACTCAACCGACTGATGCAAAGCGGCGACTTTACAGACGAGCACAAAATCAGCTTCTACAGTGGAAATCATATAATCTAGTAGACCCAAATCTTTTCTCCCTACCGAACTAACTTATTCCTTGAGTGATGCTCTCAGTGCGGGATACAGCATCAGTACGGTGCAGGTTTTCAAACGTGCTACTTCTCTTTTCCATGTGGATCAAGAAAAAAATCTAGCATTCACAGGTATTGCAACTACTCCCGCAAGTTAGCCCATCATTCACCATCCAAAGTCAGTGTGGACATCTCATCTTCTCTACGTTTCATTGCGCAAATATGACCATCATGTGAGACGTCTCTAGCGATCTCAACTAAACGATGACCTTCTTGTTGGCGTTGACTGCCTTCTTACGCCCCTCAGATCCTTTCCAGATCTCTCTCGGTTTGCAAGCTCATTAACCAAGGAGACCTACAACTTACTATAGCGGTTCCCAAGAAGCTCCGTTCAGCCGATACACAATAAAATTACTCATGGTTCACAAAAATACTGACCTCAAGAAACTCTGCCCTGTACATGTATTTAAAGCATTGAAACAACATAATTCGAAAGCCACCAGGAGACTACACCTCAAGCTACTAGTCACATTAAGGATCCATATAAATCATTACGCACTACCACAATATCTACCTGGTTACATCGAATGATGTCCATATCCACATCACAAGAACCCATCCCTCGGTTCGCTGTCTCGCCTCGGACTTGGAGCTTGCTAGAGGGGCTTCTCTGTCTGATGTTATAACAATGGGTAACTGGTCGTGTCATTTATTATTCGATAATTACTGCCGTCGATAACGCCTTCAATGGCAAAGTATTACCAACCTTTTCCCTTCGGGTCAAACATCTCCAAAGCTGTATGTACGCTACAGTAGCATCTCTAGGCTTATGTCTGGAATCTGATGGATTGTACAAAGAATTTTTTTGTCAATTGGACAAATCGTATGGTTCAGTTCGAAGGACTGGACAAACATGAGCCTAGAAACCTCCCATCCACCCATGTCTATCTACGGCAAGAAAGATCAAGGAATAGGATCCCCCCTATATCACATTCTTCTTGTATTGAAATCAATGCATTTACTTTTTTGGAATCTGTAAAAATAAAAGAAGAAATAACGATCAACTAGGCCTATGTTTGATCAGTCCTTCGGACTGAGCTATAATTTCAGGAGTAGGATTCGCTTGATGTTACTCGACAAAAAGCAAACACATCTTAGAAAATTTTATCATAGTCGAAACGGACACATGGTTATAAAAAATATTAACAAAATCTAAAAACACAATTTATAAAGATGCTATGATGCTGTAAATTATGATGAATGAGGTGAAAACTCTAGTATATTTATAGCGTTACTATTCACTTTTTGGCCTCTGGTCTCATGAAGAGTACCATCAAAAACGAGTAAAATTGGAGGAATTAAGCACACAATAGGGGGTAGGGCTACTGATGGGGTTACGGGGTAGCTTGCTTAGAACAAAGCAGCAGCAGCGATGGCCACAAGACCGGTCAGAGCAAGACCAACGGTTTGCTTGTTAGCTCCACTGGCGGTAGCAACGGGACCGGCAGACGAGCTACCAGCACCGTTAACACCGGCGTTTGATACAACGGAAGCGGATGCAGAAGAACCAGCAGTGCTGGAGGGAGCGAGGCTGCTGGCACTTGCAGAGACAGTGACATTGCCTTCCTTGTAGACACTAGCCATGCCAGCACAAGCACCAACGGGCTTAACATCGTAGGCCTTCTTCAAGATGGGAAGAATACGGATGGCAGCATCAACAGTTCCGGAGTACAGATCGTGTTCAAGAGAGACACCACCAACAGTAGCATTAGAAGCTTCGTTGACCCATGCAGTGGCATTGGCATCGATCCAGTCAGCTTGGAAGCTGGTATCTTCACCCAACATCCAATCATCGGTATCGTGGTTCCAGATAACGGCTGCAAAAAAAAATCGAGTCAGAAGAAATGATTTAAATATGCTTCTAAATCTAATGTAACTTACGAATAAATCCAAGTTGCTTAGCAATATCACGGACACGATCATCGATATCACCGTAAGGCTAAAAAAGGAAAGGATATAAAATAAAAGCAACATTGATTAGGAGCTGAGTTTAAGGGGAGGTACAATCTAATAGCATGAAGCACTTACGGGGCGGAAAAGCTTGGGGTGGACACCAGTGACTTCAAAAATAGCTTGCTCAGTCCACTTGAGTTCACCAACGATGGATTCGGTGCTTTGAGTGGTGAGGTATGAGTGAGAGAAGGTGTGAATAGCAATCTCATGTCCGGCCTTGAAAGCGCGGAGGACAAGGTCGGGGTATTGAAGGACTTGACCACCAATCATGAACAAGGTTGCCTTTTGACCAACACTGTCAAGGTAGTCATACAACTTTGGAGAAAATTGGGTGGGACCATCATCATAAGTGATACCCCATTGACCCTTGGGGCACTCAACGATATCATCAGGTCGAGTGCAAAGGGTGAAAGTCCAGTCGCAGTAAGGGTCAGCACTACCAGATTGCTTTGGTCCAGCTAGAAAAAAAGGAAAAAATCAGGATGGCTTGGAAAATGGTAGTTGCCGGTAGACGGGAAGTTATACATACCACCACCGTTGTTACTGTAGACGGGAGCCTTGGCAATGGCACTGGTGTTCAAAAGAGCGACCCATTCAGGCTTGGGAACAGGAACGGAATTGGCAGCAGGATATTTATCTTTGAAGGTGAAGTTACCGGTGGCAGAGCCCGTAGCAGTGTCGATGGCACCAGATGCTGAAGCAGTCGTAGAGGCGGGGGGAAGGCTAGTGGTGGTAGCGGCCAATGCGGAACCTGACAAAGTCAAAGCAGCCAGAAAGTATAAGCCTTTGAACAACATTTCTATGAAGGAAAAGACAAAAAACCAGAGAGGAAATAAAAATTCAACTTGAGGCCATGGACTTTATAACCTGTTTTATTATGATTGCTTTCTCTGTAAAATCTATTTCTGGTAACGCGCGCGACGGGGCACACAGATGAAGGAGCTTTGCGGTAGGGTTATTTTTTGATTGTCCTCCGCCCCTTGGTCGAATTCCGGGAATATGTCAGCTTTGGTGCACGCAAGATGTACAAATGAGGAAATTGTGGGCTTTTACCAAGAACCCAAAGCCTCAGACTTGGGCTCAATTCATAAACAAAATGAGCCAATGCTGAAATAACAACATCAACAGTAGCATCATCGAATACTTCAATCCATATGCGCTTAGGAGGCAGCGACTCATAACACATGAGTACATGCCCTCGGTTTACTTGCTGGGTTTGAATTTTGCATAACAAATACCGTGTGCTTTTTATTCCTTCCCTTCCATGATGCTCCAGTTTTAACATTTATAGTTTGACACTAAGGCAGTGCTATATCTGAACGTTCTGTCTGGGACCTGAATAGCACCAGTCGTCCCATTTGAACGTTTCTGGGTTTGCAAATCTTTTTGCTTACCCTGCCCTTGATCATATCAATCCCTTTTAAAAGGCACGTTCTCCTTTCCACTCAACCAGCCAACACGGATCCACAATGCAAGCCGTCCCACCACCGCCAGCCTAAATTCTCCTTTCTTGCTCATGTGGGCTATTTTCAGGTGCAGCAATATTAAATTATTTTTTTTGGCGTGATTTCACCAAATCGACGTGAGCTGACAAAATGAGCCTTAAAAAAATTTTTTCGCGTGCGCTACCGATAACCATTGTAGTCGAAGGCAAATGAACGTATTCCATTAATGATGATTCCATGATAGTGAACGAAGTCCAGGTCATCTGAAACTAACTGTGAAAAAAGGGGGGGCTTAGGGACTTTATTATACTACTTTGAATAAGTCACATGTGTTTACATAATGAGGGCTCATCCAACCAGCCGATTCTCGGTAGCAACGTTGGCCACTGTAGAACATGACAGGCGCCTCACTGTTTAGCCATTGACATTTGCTTCTCTGTCAGCATTACCTCAAATGCCATAGTATATACGTATGGACCAGCAGCTTATCTTTTTCCAATTATAGAGCTCAGTAAGCCATTGTGCAACTTCTTCAACTCGCACAGATGGTACAGAATAGGTCATAAACGGTAAGTGCGCACGAATTATAAATTTTATCAAGAACAAAAGTTAAACCGAACTATTACAAACTTTACTGCCTCCAAAGCAGCGTGGAGGTACGTTTCCCCAAAGTTCAACCCCTCAATGATGATACCCTGAGCGCCTTCGCCCTTTATTCTGATGCAAATGGAAAAAACAAAGGAAAAAAAAAGTCATTATAAAAAAAAACAATGACGACTACCACAACAATGTCTTCAAGATTGGATAAGTAACCACTTGTTGTCATCCACGCATGGGCTAATTGCTTCATGCAATCACTGTTCTGGGTTAATGAACAAATTGTACGCGTATGAAATATTATTTCCAAGGTGAACTACATTTGATAGTGTTTCATATTGTCATTATTTGTCTTTTTTTTTAAAAGAGTGGCGATTATATTTCGATGTGGCAATACCATCATACTCGTCCTAGCCAATCCCCATGACAATAACTGTACTGTTCGTGATGAATGCCAATGACACCAATTACGTTTGTCGTATGCCCTTTCTTTTTTTCTTATCATTAGAAGCTGAAATGAAAATGAAAAAAAAGTAAACAGAAGAAGTAAGAGGAAGTACGATTAAAACCATAGCGCTCTGACATTACAACCTTCGAAGTATGTACGTTACCACTACACCATCTTATCTGTACGTTTATAATTTGAAGACTGTTATTATTTTTTTGCGCAGATTTCAACGCAACATACAATGTATGTTCAAGTGAAAGAAGCAAATACACAGCTTGCTGCTACCGAAATAATCATCTACACAAAATGATGATTTTTACAATTACATTTATTTGTTTCTACCAATTCATGAAGGTATAATATAGTCTCATAAAATAGACAGCTTTCGTATTTAATTTGAAGTATAGGATATGTTTGAGGCAAAATATCAGAGTGTGAATGGCCGCTTAATAGACTTTTCAACAAACGGCCGACTTTTATACGACCCATCAAAGAGAACTTTGCATCACACGAATGTGAGATTTATTCCATACTCTTCCGAACCAGGGTATGTCCATGCTTTCAGGGAAGTGCATGAGAAATCTGACTATAATTTCAATACCATTTTCATATTTTTAAAGGGATTTATACAAATAACTGTGTCTGGATATAATGATATGGTAGAGCTTCTGTTCGTCAGCTAATGAAGCCCTCGTCTTTTGATCTTTGGTGATCTCCGGTTTGCCCCAAAAAAAAAAAAGCTTCCCGTCGGGAGAACAAAAGCCAGTCACTTTTTTGCCTCCCACTGCTTTTTCCGGCGGGTAATTGCCAAAACACTCAGTTTCTCTTTCAAAACGATTGGTTCAACTGTCAAAGCAATGCACGGCGTTTTTCGTATAGCTGCTATTACCAAGAACTCTGCTGCAGCTGCACAGAGAGCAGTCAGCAATGGTGCGTAATTTTCACTTTCTACGAAACAATTGATTCCAAACACGGGACACCCATGACCTTGGCGTCAACAATGGATAGAGTCACCCGCGGGCTATATGAATTTCAGCTACAAAACATAATCTATGACACGATGCACCCACTGTGTTTGATACTATGACACTAAATATTTTATTCTCTTTGTACAGGCTTTCATACCTCGTCAGTACAAGCAGCAGTTACTAAGTTCGGTATGCCTGCTATGAGTCCAACCATGACGGAAGGAACCATCATCAAGTGGAAGAAGAAGGAAGGCAAGCATTGTTCATCAACACAGCTAGTTTGAATATATCGGATCAAAAAAGCGATCTCACATCAGAATATTAACCCGACTTCCATGTCACTTGCAGGTGACGAGGTTGCCGCCGGCGATGTCATTCTCGAAGTTGAAACAGATAAAGCTCAAATTGATGTTGAAGCTGCCGATGATGGCATTTTCGCTAAGATCTTGGTATGTTGAATGTGATGAGGAAACATACATACTATCGATGTCGTGCTCATTTTATATTTATGTCTATTTGCAAAGGTACAAGAAGGAGAGCGCGTCCCGGTCAACACTACTATTGCTTTGCTTGCTGAGGAAGGTGATGATATCTCAAACATAGAAATTCCAGCAGATGAACCCAAGGAAGCTGCCCCTGCCGAGGAAAAGTCAGAGGAAGCTCCTTCCACACCTGCAGCAGCAGCTCCCACACCCAGTGAACCCATTGATCACCACGATATTGACACAAGCAAATTGAAGAAGCCCTTGTCTCCCGCAGTTTTGAGCTTGTTGCTTAAGCATGGTGTTAAGGATGTGTCCAGCATTAAGCCTACTGGTCCTAATGGTCGTCTTTTGAAGGGTGATGTCCTTGGTCACCTTGGTCTCATCAACTATAAGGCTCCACCTCCCTTCGCAAAGACTGCAGCACCTCCTCGGGATCAAATCGTCTTCGCCAAGGTAAATGGTCGTCAGCAAAATGTTTTTTTGGGCACATATACACATGCATGTTTACTAAACGTAAATATTTTGTAGCCTGCTGCCAAGGCTGAAGCCAAGAAGGCTGCTGAACCAGCTATTCCTTTGTTCATTAGCAAGTCTGTCGCTGTCGATAACCTCTTCAATTTACGTAGTGTAATTAATTGTAAGTTGCCAAAACAAAAGCTGACGCGGCTGGGGTGGATGACATCTAACAACTCACTCTGTCATTAGCAACATATGGATCAAATCTCACTTTGGACGAATTCTTTGCCAAGGCGGCTGCACGAGCATTGCGAGATCTTAACAAGCCATCAGCTTCCAGCGCCACTGGAGTTGTTCATAACGATTTAGGTGCCAGCTCTGTCTCGGATACATTCAGCGGTGCTAAATACAAGTAAGTTGAATGAAACTATGTGCTAATATGAACTAGCCTCTCTAATCAAACCATGGCGTCTGCTTTGTCTTTTCGTATAGTATCTTCAACCTTGCTCCTGCAAAGTACGACTTTATTTCCGACTCATATGAATCCGCAAAACCATACACTTTGACTGTAAGCTCTAGCAAGAAGGTTGGAGGTAGTGCAAGCACCGAGAGCTATGAAGACCTTTTGGATTTCCTCGGTGGTGCCAAGCCAGCAGCCAAGGCAAAGTCTGTCCATATGGCTTCTGCCGACAACATGTTCTTGCAACCTGCAAAGAAATCTGCATATCACACCGTCGAGTTGAAATTAGAAGGAGGAGAGAAGAAGGGTCAAGTGTTGAATGATGCAAAGGCATCAGTTTTCCTGGATAGAATGGAATACTACGTCCAACACCCTGAGGAGTTGGTCGCGTAGGTAGACAGTTTACCTCAATTTTTTCATTTAAAAAGAAAACCCCCCCCCCATTTTATTAATTTCTTGTCATACTGAAAATAAAAAACATGATAATTAAAACGAACACGACGGTTATTCTTTCGGGATTAATTATGATTAACGTATGTTGTAAGCTCTAATGTATGTGATAATGATAGCTAGCTAGCTTACGAAAATGAGATCGGTTTGGAGAATATTTTTTGGAAGAGATCTTCAAAATCTTCGGGTTGAGATTTTGGTCCGTTTGGAAGTTGACTGTCGCCATTGGTTATACTAGGCGCAACAATTGGAAATTCCATCCTAGTAACAGTGCTTTCAGCTGCATTTTCCGGTTCTGCTATTGATGTAGCCGGTGATATAATAGGGTATTGCGTGCTTGTAACAGTTCCATCCGTTCTTGGGTCTCGTAATGCTTGAGGTGGAACGACGGGACGGTCTGTGGATGTAACGTTATTATCTGTACCATGTCTGTGCTCTTTCTTGTTATTTCTTGTAGTTGAGTCCTCAGTATGTGCAATATCTGCGCGCTTGTCATTCGTGGGTGGTATAGCTTGATTCAATCCAAAGTATTTCGCGTCGAAAGAATTGAGAGCGGTCGTTTCAGCGGGATGTACACCCACATACGGGTTTCGGCGCATCCAATTTGCAATATTACTCTGGTGACGAGCCCGTTCCAAGTAGGGTATCAAAAAATCAATTTCATTGTCGCCATAAGCTTTGAACATTTTGTCGCTATGTTCAAATTGTCGCACAATGACACAGTTATGTGGTTGCAGTACACACTTCTTGAATGAGTCATCCAGCAATATAGTATTGGTAGCATTGAACACTCGAGGATAGTAGATTTTTTCCTCCGCAATGTGCGACCATAACTGATTCAAATCCTTCAAGGTGAGGACGTTCTCACGATAGTCTTCTCTTGATAGATTGAAATTCTTTCGAGTCCAAGTTAACTTGATCTTTTTCAGGTTGGGCTTAAATATTTCAGAAAGAAACTCTACTGATTCGGGGCGACCACTTGACCAGACGGCCACTTCATAGTACCTCATGAGATACTCCATTAGAGTTTCAAGCTTGGGTCGTTCGTAGCAACCTGTTGTTCTTCTCGTCACCGGTTCACGCACAGCCGAACAAAGCGTCCCATGAAGATCTAAGACAATTAACGGCCGTATAGGCTCTGTAAGTAATATAGAAGGCTGTTGACTCAGCGTCAAGTATGATTCAGACGGTTCAGACATGTTGACGGAGAAAGGTTCTTGGGACCTCCTTCCCTTGATATTTTAAAAATATGGCCACCCAGCGGACTGCGGTAAGTCAGTCATAGTGACTGTGTTTTTACATGGTCGAGCCAAAAGTGTCTTTTTTTTTTCTCATTTTTTTTTTTTCAAGTTCAGTAACAGGCTGCACACTACTTGTGATCAACGACTCTCAACTTTTAAGCAGTTATACTGCAGAAAAACAGCTATATATTCTACTAGAAACGTCAGATCATGAGGGACTCTGTCATTGCCAGTGAACTCAACACTGGTGAAGGAGAGCGACGATTCAAGGTAAGATCAGTCCCGAGATCACAGTGACATGGCAGTAACATGGATTGTACGCCAGAATTATGCATTATGATGCTAATCACAGCCGTATAATCATTACAGTATCAATCGTTCAAAACCAGAGTCGAACATATAAAAATAGATGTGGTCCATCGAGTCAAGCGATATGAAGAAGACCCAGACGAACATGGATCGTATTTTAACGAAGCACTGGAAGAATGGAAAGAGAAGAACCTCACAACACATTTTTCGCTGTTTGTGCGAGATATACAAATGTATGTCAAGACTCTACCATCCATTTTGTATCACAAGGAACGGCTGGTAGCCTGCATAGAGAAGCACCTACAGGTGCCCGATAGTTTGGCATTAGACGCCATCCTTGACCTTACAACCAAACTTGCAAAGGATTTGGAGTCGGAATTTTATCCTTATTTCGGTCAAATTTTCGCGGCTATTGTTCCTCATATCAAGCACCGAGATGTCAAGACTTTGGAGAGCGTCTTCAACTGCATAGCTTATTTGTTCAAATACCTCTCTAAGCAAATGACCAACGACCTCTGCCCAACATTCGCAATGCTTGCACCCTTATTGGGTGAAGATAATCAACAGAAACCCTACATTCGACATTTTGCTGCCGAATCCTTTGCCTTCCTGTTGAGAAAGGCTCGTGGAAAGGACTTGACGTTGATTATGGAGTATATCTTAGAAAGAGTCCGACAAGAACCCAATGAAGAATTTGTAGAGGGTGTGGCTATGCTGTTCTTTGAATGTATCAAGCAAGTGGATCATCAGCTACATTCTCGCGGCGTTGCCATCTTTAAGGAACTGATATTACACATGTACCGAGAAGATGTCGACAGCATTACTATTGAAGAAAACTCTACATATCGAGTTCTCAGTAAAACAACGCTCCTCATCATTCACCATACCTATCGACAACACATCACACAGCTTCTTGAAATGGTTATGTCAGAAGCTGACAGCACTTTAGGGCGGCTGGAAAAAGAGCCATCTATTCAAGATTTCAAAACGCTTTCCATAATTGTTCACGTCTTAGTCATTGCGGTTACTGCTCGCAAGTCTAGCCGTGTGCCAGACCACAAACCTGTTACAGCATGCTTGAAGCGAATTGCAGACATCATCTTGGTTGATAATGCTCAGCCTAAATTTCCTTTCCTTGCAACCGAATTCTTCCGCTTGGCCACTGCTGTGTTTGTTCTCGGTACATTAGAGAACTGCGTTGGAAGCGGAAAGGCTGTCCTTGATCGCATCGCGGATTATAATGATGGACCCGCAACATATGGTTTCATCCTTAGTCTCGCCAAGGTTGAATGGCCCAACTTTACGCAAATCATGCTGCCATACATAGTGAAAATTTGCACAGTTCACTATAAAAAGTACTTTAATCAGACCGTACTGTTTGTGGCCGAGCTTCTGGAAACTCAAGCAATTCGAGTTACGCCAGGAATGATCTCTTCAAATGTGACTCCAGAAGGCCTTCTCCGATTTCCTACCGACACTACAAAAGGCTCAAAAGGGGAAAAGACCTCTTTTGTAGACAGCTTATTGGATGCTCTCCGCAACGACTATGACTGGGAATATGAGAGAGATGTAATGAATAATTTGGACGTAAACGAGGTAAGTTGTTTATCTATCACATATTCAATGTGTACCCACATATACTAACAATTGTTGTCTCATCAGAATGTTGAGGTGGTTTCCAAGATATCTGTGGTCAGTGCCATTCTCTCCATCATTAGCCATGTACAGATATCGGCTGAAGAAACTTTGGATACGCTAGTGTCACTGTTTGAATCTTTGAAGAACGCTCTCTCCAAAATTCAAGACAACAGCATCGCCATGTCAGCATTTACGGTTGGTCACAAGAACTTTCCGTTAGAGTCTCTGATGGGTATAATTATCAAGTCCATCACAAGCGTCTCTGTAAGCTCAAACCAGCTGCAGAAGCTATCTGGCTATTGGAGTCGCTTCGTCAATGATGTCCTTCTTCAACATCCTGGAAATGAAATGATTGTACATGGTGTATATACCTTCATGGATGCACTTCAAAACAGGTGAGTTATCTATGTACCAGATTTTGAAGCATGGCTACTTCAAGAGCATCCACTTACACTGTTTTGCATTTTTCTAGCAAATTGGTTAAGGATAACTTCAAGAAAGAGAAATTGCCAGAAGTCTATCAGACATTATGTCCTCTCATTAGTTCATACAGAAGTAACGAACGCCTGTACATATTGAAAATCTTAGCACTTTACGAGCAGCTGCCTATGGAACTCGATGCCGATCATCGCGACTACGAGGAATGCGATGTCATTAATGTCATGCTTACGATGGAAGAAATTTCCGCCAATATCAAGGATTACCGAGACAAGGTGCTACATCTTCGCAAACTTGGCGTTCTTCTTGCTTCTCAAAGAGTTCCCGAGTTCTATTTTGAAGCCATATGCCGAATTGCTTTAGGTATGGAAATGAGATTTTCGTGTCAGGAAAGGCAAAGGAAATATATCTAACAAAAGTTTGCATTTTAGCTCTCCTGACTATCAATTTTCAACCTCTCTGGGCCGAGTCTATGGCTATTCTCGAGACGGCTGCTAAAGTCGCTCCCAGACTCTACTGGAAGTATACCTTTAATGAAATGCAAAAGTTTGATAATCAATCTGAATTGATTCAAGACGGATTTGCACAATCGGCGACATCCTTGTACTTTGCACCACCAGCACCCACTAGCGGTCAAGCTACCAAGACTGGCGGTTTAAGTTTTGAGTGTCCAAATCTTAATAAGTTCATAAGAGCTGAAGACGAGGCAACAAGTGCTATTTGTAAAGATCAGGCAAAATCCTTGGCTATGCTCTTTGTCAAGACATATGCTCCGGCCAATGACAGGATGGATTATTGGAACTACTATACCTTGATCCTCAAGACATTTGCAAAGATTCCTACGGTTACTGAGCAACACAACAAAACTATCATTCCAGTGTTCCTCAAGTTCTTGGAAACCGAGTACTACACAGCATTTGAAGGTGACTTTGACGAAGAGCAGGAGGAAAGCAAGGCAGCTCGTATGGATGTAGACTGGTCTCAAGATGTTGAGGTTTTAGAACGCAGTGCAAGAACTTCGAAACAAAAGATGATTCAATGGCTTCAAATCTTTGCATCTTTCAAGTCTTCAAAGTCCATGTACAAGAGTGACGAACTCCGTGACGTTTTCCTACGCTTGCTGACAAAGGGTGATCCAAAGCTCCAAGCCGCATCGTTAAAATGTCTTTACACTTGGAAGAGCCCTGCGATATCCCCTTATGCGGATAACCTCAATAATCTTGTGGATGAGACTCGATTCCGCGATGAACTCTCAACCTTCATGATCAACCATGAGCAAAATACAGTAGATCCTGCTCATCGAAAGGAGCTGATGCCAGTTGTGATGCGAGTCTTGTACGGAAGAATGGTCCAGCGTAAAGGAAAAAGTGCTGCTAAAGGCAATATGGGTAACCGCCGTAAAGCTGTTCTAGGAGCTGTGGCATGTTGTGAAGAGGATGAAGTTCGATTTTTCATTCATCTCATGTTGGACCCTTTCAAGCCGCTGCTGGAATTACCTGACTCTACCCAGGCGGGTGCAGAGTTTGATATCATCACGAGCACCGATGTGACCACTTTCGTTCCTTATAGAAAGCAATTGGGATTCCTCAACATTCTGAATGATGTTTTGACGCAATTGAGCTCAAATATTCTACCAAGTTTGCATGAGATTATCAAGGTTACTCTTTATCTCATTCACTCTGCCAGCAACAAGGCTGTTGTGTCAGCAGCAGAATCAAGTGAAATGGAAGTTGACGAGCAAGAGGAGGTTCCGGAAGAGGAAGTGCAAGACGAAGATGACGTTGAAGAAGCTGGATTTAAGCCGGAGGACTCTCAAAGCCAAAGCCGTAACTCAAGAGAGGTTCGCCTGTTGGGAATCAAACGTCTTGTCACCATGTTCAACTTGAGTGGATCATTTGATTTTACCAAATACCTTCCTTCCATGTTTTCATCCTTCATTTCTGCGCGTCTACCAAAGTTCGCTCTTGAAAACACACAAGCGCCATCATCCCTACTCGAGCTTTTCTATGCCTGGTCATCGCGACGGGAGTATATGCTGTATCTTTCTGATTACGATCCTATCCTTCTTCCTCAAGTATTCAGCATCCTATCGGCAAAGAAACTACGGGAACGTGTTCATGTCATGGTGTTGGATATTATTGAGAACATCTTGGATAACTGCCAATCGGATATGGATGTAGACAAGGCCGAGTCCAAGACTCTCACTGCAACCTTGATTGTGTCGAACGTTGATATTTTGCTTACCAACCTGGAACACTCACTTATGCAATCCAGAAATGATGCCAAGTTTGGAAAAGAAAAGTTCTCTGTCCGTGAAATCGCCATCGTATCAAGAATCTCTTCCTATGTTGATAATGGACGACAGGCTACAACCATTGTTGACCTTCTGTTGCCATGTCTGAAAAAGAACCCTAGAGTGGTGCCAGAGAAGACAAAAGCGAACATTTTGGAGATCTGGGCCAGATTCCTTCCCATCATTCCTGACTTCAAGGCTGGATCAGATTTGTTCAAGCGCTATTATAGCTACGTATCTATGATGTTGTCCGCTCTTCAAGGTCGACAAGTCAGATTGCTGTTGATTCAAGTTTTCAAGCAATTTGCTGCAGTGGATGATTCATTGAGCCAGATTGCTTACTTGCTTGAGGAATTGAACGCATTTTCTGATCGACGCATCGACGAACCCGATTTCGATCGTCGCCTAGATGCCTTTGCCAAGATCAATCAAGAGCTTAATCCAACATTTTCGCCCAAGCAATGGCTCCCTCTTCTCCATCAGTGTTTGTTCAACATGCACGATCCTGAAGAAATGGCCATTCGTGGAACTTCTTCTTTGGCTGTCATGAAGTTTATCGACAATACCGCTAGCCCTGAGCACGAAAACGAAAAGGAAGAGATGGTCAATCTCATCAGTCACATAGTGTATCCTGGTATTAAGAAGGGCTTGGCATCGTCCATTGAATTGGTTCGAGTCGAATTTATCACTGTATTGGATCATGCTGTCAAGGTCTTCCCTGAGCTGCCTCATTTTGCTGATCTTGTCTGCTTGCAAGCTGCTGGAGATGAAGAAGCCAACTTTTTCAACAACATTTACCACATGCAAATCCATCGTCGTCTCAGATCACTCGGTCGTCTGTCTGAAGCTGCTGCAGCTGGCAATGTCAAGCCCAGCAGTATCAACAATATTTTCGTTCCAATCCTGACGCACTTCATTTTCGAAAGCGATCAAGTTACGGATCACAATATTATCAATCAGAGTATTATGACATTCGGTGTTCTGGCTGGCCAGCTTCCTTGGAACAGCTACTACCGACTGTTGAAGCAATATCTCAAGATGATACCCAAGAAGACTGACCTGGAAAAGGTCCTTGTTCGTTTGGTAACAAGTATTTTAGACTCCTTCCATTTCGATCTCACTCAAGTACAATTGTCAGAGGAATCTGTCCAAAATATTATGAAGCGCAAGAAGATCATTATCGAGTATATGGAGGAGCCGTCTGCAACAGGTCCTATCCCAGAAGCTGATGAAGAGGAAGAAGTCGAGGAAGAAAAGCCCGTTGAGCAAAAAGATTTAGCTGAACGTATTCACGACACCGTGGTGACCAAGCTCCTTCCTGAACTTCACCGGTATTTGACCAACAAAGATGAAACTAGCGCCACTCTGCGTGTGCCAGTTGCTTTGGGTATGACCAAGGTTCTCAAGGCTCTACCAGAGAGTTCCATGAGAGTCAATTTACCAGGATTGCTCACTTCGGTCTGTCAAATCTTGAAGAGTCGTCAACAAGATGCTCGTGATTCCACCCGTGATACTTTGATCAAGATCAACAATTTCCTTGGACCTTCCTACTTCCCTTTCATCTTGAAGGAAATGCAAGCCGTTTTGCAACGAGGTTACCAGCTTCACGTTCTCGGTTTCACTCTCAACTCGTTGTTGTCAGATATGATCCCCAAGCTTAATGTTGGCGATTTGGACTTTTGCTTGCGACAAGTTGTTGGTATCCTTGTTAATGACATCTTTGGTCAAACTGGCGAAGAGAAAGAAACGGACGAAATCACTGGCAAAATCAAGGAAGCAAAGACCAACCGCAGTTTCAGCTCTTTTGAACTCATGGCTCAAATCACAGAGTTTAAGAACCTGTCTGTCATGCTCATTCCTCTTCGTGAGATTATGAGTAATACCGAAAGTCTTACAGCTACCCGAAAGATTGATGAGACTCTCAGTCGAATTTCTCTTGGTTTGAATCGTAGTGCTCAGTTCGATGCCAAGGAAATATTGATTTTCTCTCACCGTTTGATTTCACAAAACGCTGGTTTCAGCGACGGCAAGACCAAGAAGAAAGCTGCCAAGTCCCAAATGGAGAAGAATTTCGAAGTGCAAAATAAGCGAGACTTCAGCGAACCGGTTGATCATTACCGCACCAACGCATTCCGTTTCGTTTACTTTGGTTTGTCAATCCTGCTCACTGCACTGAAGCGTAACCGATTCGATACCAAGTCTCACGAACACTTGCAAATGCTCGATCCATTTGTCAACGTTGTAGGCAATTGTTTGTACTCAACCCAAACTACCATTGTGATAACAGCCTGCAAGGTTTTGAACGTTCTCTGCAAGTGGCCTCTTCCATCTATTCCTGAATCTGTCCCGGTCTTAGTCAAGCAAATGTTTGTCATCATCAAGAGCTCTGGCAACACGAACTCTAATCTTATTCAGACGAGCTTCAAGCTCCTTACTGTGTGTATCAGAGACCGTTCCGAGTCGTCATTGACAGAACACCAACTCACTTACATTATCAACTTGATTCGACCGGATTTGGAGGAACCTGAAAAGCAAACTACCACCTTTGCTCTCATTCGTGCCATCATCTCGCGCAAGTTCATGGCTCCAGAAGTATATGATTTGATGGAGAATGTTGCGGAGATCATGGTTACCAGTCAAGGAAGAGAAGCTAGAGATTTGTGCCGAGGTGTTCTTTATCAGTTTTTGATGGAATATCCACAAGGCAGAGGCAAGCTTCGACAGCAAATGGGCTTCCTAGTCAAAAATCTGGATTACGCTCACGAGAGTGGTCGTGAATCGGTCATGGAAATGCTTCATGTAATTTTCAACAAATTTGGTGATGATATCCTTATGGAATACGCCGAGATGTTCTTTGTCGCTTTGGTATTACGTTTGGTAAATGACGAATCAGCGAAATGCAGAGAAATGGCTGGTACATTGATCAAGGTTCTACTTGTCCGCATGGACCAACAACGTATCTCAAACGTCTACAAGCTGCTCGAAAAGTGGCTCGCCGATTACAGTCAACGCAATCTTCAACGTGCTGCTTGTCAAGTTTATGGTCTTGCCGTCGAAGCATTTGGTGATGGGTTCAAGAATCGAATCCCACAATTGCTTGAACGTCTAAACGAGATGCTTCAACTGAGCAAGGATTTGACTCACAAGTATCACGACTCGGAAGACGATGATGAAGATGAAATGGCACTTGATCTGGAGTGGGAGGTTGGCTATTATGCTCTCAATACCTATACCAAAATTATCAAGCAATTCCCTGCTATCATCTACTCTGAATCAGTACCTATCTGGAATGTCATCGAAGATCATATCCTTCATCCTCACACATGGATCCGCATAGCTTGTACAAGATTGTACGGTCTTTACTTTGCTAATATTAATCCCGAAACTCGCCAATTGATTGACGGCAAGACTACCATCTCATATTTGACCCGCTCAAAGCTGCGATTGTTAGCTTCTCGCTTTACTTTACAATTAAAGAGTAAGTTGCTTACTGAAGATCTGGGAACCCAAATCGTCAAGAATCTCTTCTACATTGGAAAGTGCTTCTACCTTATTCCCACTTCGGAGGATGTGCCTGACGCGTCAGAAGAAATTGCTCAAACCAATGACGCTGAGGATATTGAAGAAGCCGATGCAGACGAAGATGCCGGTATCAATGGAGTAGAGGCAACAGGAGGTGCTACTGAACGCGATGAAGACGAAAAGATGATCGAGGCCAACAAATTCAAGGCAGCCAAGCCCTCTTTAGCATGGCTGTTCAATAAGGAATCCTTCCTTGCTCGTGGTGCTGCGATTCGTGGTCAAAAGAACATTCTCCTCGTAAGTTACATGATGATTTATTTGTCATTTATATCGTCGTTATATCTCAGTTACTAATGACTTGATTTCCATATAGCGTACATGTGTATTCAAATGGTTTGCTGCCATGATGTCCGTTTTGAAAGCAGGGGAGATCACTCCGTTCTTAATATCAATTGTCTCGCCACTTTATCGAACTGCTGAAGACGAAGATACCAAGGGAACCGATTTTGGTAAGTGATATTTATTTTAGCGACCATAAACGTCCGTGGAAGTATACCGGTAATTAACGAAAGCTGCATGGCCATTTCTCATTTAGATGAACTCAAGCAACTTGCTAATGAAGTTCTCAGTTTGGTGCAAAAGAAGGTTGGCACAACCGAGTACTTTTACGCCTACAATAAAGTGCGACAAAGAGTTCAAGAAGTACGCAGCCAACGCAAAGCTAACAGAGCTTACCAGGTACGCATAAACAGAGCCGTTCGTTATGATCATCCAGTATAGAAAACTTACACATTGGTTTTTTAGGCTGTTTCTGACCCTGTAGCCGCTGCACGCATGAAAGTGAAAAGAAATGAGATGAAGAGAAATGCCAGAAAGCGAAAGACTGCGGATTTCGCAAACAACAAGGCTCGCTTCGGAATCAAAAAGAGACGTGGAGGAGCCGAATAGAGAGATTACACATATCAAAAAACAGATAATATAGACTGTACATAGCATTTCATAGCATTTCACGAAAAAGTAAAATGATCTCATTCCACGCAACTATCGAGTCTGTATCCGAAATGTCTGATATGAACGAAATTGCAACATATGTGTATATATATAATTGTATGAAAAGGTTTTTACAGCGATTTGAAAGAAGGAGGAGGGAAAAAGAAAACGTTTCCAATGGAATAGAAAAATGGGGATCGAATCATTCATTGAAGCAAATTTATCGATGGTTGGTTATCAGTTGGCCAATTTGACATTGGCCGGTTGTGAATCGTATTTTGTGCGTTTGGAGGGATGATCATCGGTATCCAATTCTAATTCTCTTGTCTTTGTGACAGTTGCATAGGTCATTGTCCTTTGTTCGATGATAGTGGATGTTGGATCGGCTTCAGGGCTAGACATAGCCATTTCCATATCTTCATCAACAGATTCCGTGTCTTCCAGAAGAGTAGGCACAGAGGCGTTTACCTGTGCTTGACCCTGCCGCAAATGCAAAGCGTATAGGCTGTTAGGATTATACTGAGCGATGGGCGGTTCTCGGTCCAAGCCTTTGACCGTAGGTCGCTGCCACATAGGGTCGTACCAAGGCACATCAGCAGCAAGTTCAACATCGTCGAACACCGCCTTCCAAGGATAGTTGGGCCATCGCCGGTGATTTTCCTTAGCCATCTCTTTGTAATCAAACTCCAGTTCAAGTGGCTCAGTTGACTCCCAGAGCTGATCAAATTGCGCATCTTCCGATTCCTCTGCTGATCTTATCCAGATATCCTCACGCAGGCGCTTATGCTATTTTTTTCCTATTAGTAATGTCTTTTCATCAATGATTGGCTGACAGGCAGATGACTTACACGTTCTCGATCCTCTTCCATACGCTTCAATATATCATTTTTAGAGAATGTCTGTTTTGCGTGATCCGGTATCCTATATAAAGATAGATAATTCAACACAATGCATACATGAGGGCATAAGATCGAATGTAGCGACTGACTGACCTGACTTCTGACTTTGGCAGACGGCTTTCAATGCTTTCAAGGCTTGCCTTATCAAAAAGACCTTTCAGTTTCCATGTGTTTAATATCTAAGAATGAAAATAATGATGAGGAGCAGTTGTTGGTGGATAGAAATGAGAATATCGTTTTCAAACCTTTCTTGTGCTGGCGGCATTTACCATTCCCCTCGCGTCATTGGGAACAACCGAGGCAATCACCTTATCAAGGTCTTGTCGCACTAGATCAACATAGCCTTTGAAGCCAGACTTGAGACTCGCCTGGCAGAGCGAGTCAAGCACGTAAAGTATGTTGAGACGTGCGTTCATTGACGCCTAGAAAATGGCAGTAGAGCGAATGAGAATGGTCAGCAATTCTCCAATTGTATATGTAAGGTTGGGGTTGTCATGTGTGGAAATATACACAAGGGTTGAAGTTATTATTGCGAGAGAATAAAAGAAAAATCATATTCAATATTGGTTTATTGTTGGGACATGAGAATGCGAGAGGGAGATTATGTCATGCCCATACCCTCTCCCGTGATAGGAGCCTTCCATTCCTCACTGCGCAAGTGCCAGAAAGTAGCTCATGCTTTTGTAGCCTCATCAGATATGGCTATATTGCCGGGTACTTCTCACAATGGGAATGGTAGGAGGGGGGAGTGTGACAAGTGTGTGCATCAAATCAAGTGGGATCCAAACTAACCTGTTCCAATGATTCCAACACACAACTGTACAGATCTTCGGAAAGTCGTTTGTTTCGCATAGCATAGTTGGCTACCTTTTGAATCGATTGTTGTGATGCGTTAAGCTTTTGTAAAAGGGAGGTGAACTCCAAGCGACATTCAAATGGATCATAGTCATCGGACATGGTGAGTTGCTATCGTATCGAAGGGTGGAAAGAAGAATGGGATGGATTTTTCCAGCCAAAAATTTTCCAAGCCAAAAATTTTCCCCAATGACCGACTACGGAATCAGAGGTGTAGGCTGTTATAAAAAATTTAACAGTAGCCCATGCTCTGAGAGTTACTTTGGTTGCAGGACTCACTTACCTTATCAACATACAGCATGTTTATTACAAGGGAAATAGATTTCGCAGCTCACAATGGGTGATTTGGGCAATACACGAAAAAGTGAATAAAGAGATGCGCAAAGCAATCGTGTTACCAATTATGTCCTGTCACTGCTAATGTCACTGACCCCACTTAGAAACGCTGTGCATCAACTTTATTCCTATCAGTAACAAGATCGCGATGCTAGAAAATTGTCATCCATTGGTATAAAACGTGTATACAATGTGGAGTGTTTTGTGCGCACCATAGAAACTTGACATTTTTTTTATCAGTAGTATACGGCTGGCGATCGCATTTTTTTCTAAATAATATCAAGACAAGGAGAGGATTAGATAGGGATCGGCCACTGCATCAAGGGATGCTGACATTTAATCGGCGGCCCATTGACTTATAAAACATGCATAATTTGTAAGACTTAAAGGCAAGCGGGTGGACATCTCATCAAGATAAAAGTATTGAAAACTATTTTTACCCGTAGTCAGTAAAGTTTTAAGCGGATTGGCCCCCGCATTACCTATGGTCGAAATAAACAAGGACAGAGATGGTGGTGGGTTTGCTGGTTGTGATACGGAACGCACTGGAAATGGCTCAAACAAAATTAACGTTTGGGATCTTCCGAGTGCCTGGATCACTTTTTTCACTTGAATAATACCACCACTGTTAAATCTTACACGCGATCATGGTTCGAATGCACTCGGCATTGGGAACGCTGTTTTTAAGTTCATTGGCCGGCTTACGGCATCAAGAGTTCCCACTCGGTTGACGAAATAACCGAAATATACACTTGAACGGCAGCTACCTGCAGTCGCTGTCCCTTTAAGGAGGTCGGCAGCGCCTTCACCTGGGAAATGACCAAAAATACACATACACCTGGTGCAATAGATGTAGACAAGAGATAAGGGAGATGGCATAGAATTAGTATTATAGGAACCAAAAAATATGGGTGCGTTGTTCAACCATGGAGAGTACAACAGTTATTATTGATACCAGGAGAGTGAGGGCCATTCCATGGGCCGCTCCTCAAAAAAAGACTCCATCTTGAAGATCGCTCCGCCAGTTTGTCATACATTACCAAGTAAACTGAAAGACCATTTAGGTCTCATGCGCGCGCCTTCGCCACACAAACAGGTGAGCTCTTCATACGACGTGATGGAAAAACAGGATAAAGCAGTTGACTGAGAATAAGCATTTGTGAACTCAAACCGATTTTTGCTTGGGTTTACTCAGAGCCAAGGACAAAAAGCAAAAAGGTGGTTCCACTGTCTGTCAAAAAGGGGAATACCAACTTGAGTACTCCATCAAACTTCTAATTATTTTAAGCACAACCTACCTTTTCCTTCGTTTCTTGTTTTTTTTCGGTGGTGTTTTCCCAAGTTGCAGGCCATAGCAAAACAACAGCAGCTGTGGACCCTTCAATGTTTTTTTTTTTTTTTGGGTCTTCGTCTATTTTAAACAGCGCTAATGGAGAAACCAAATTTCCTAATTAGGGGTGTGGCTGATAGTACACGTGACACGATGCCACAGTCTTTAATCTTTGGACTGTGATTTTTTTTTGGGATTTTCGAAAAAGCTAGCTTCTAGACCTTTGACTGGACCCAGCGCAAAACGACATGTTGCACATGCATTCTGCGCTGCATATTTTTGACTTTCTACAGCAAATTCAAAGCTCCATCAGCGAGGCAGACTTTGACATTCTGCTAGCGGAACTGTCTTCAAGTGACTTTATTCCCGACAAGCAAGCACCCTCACAGTTCACTGTGTCAATAGCACATGAAATACCCCATCCACTGATAGCCGAACTCAAAGATATTTCAACAACGGCCATGGCGAAACCTACATTTCATTCTATGATAAAGAGGATAGCTGATGGATATAATCTTCTGGAAAAGGTTGCCTCCGTCCTCAAGGAAGATTATCTGATAGCAGACTTTATAGAAGCCATGCGCATCGGAGACCCGTATGCAACACCTCAGGAAGTTACAGCCAGCGTCAATGCATTTGTCGAAAGCCTGGAACCACCGGCTCTACAAGATGAAGTGAATTCTATACTTGATAGCAAACGGTGCGAAAATAGTATCGGTAGGTGTCAGTCACAACCATTGTAAACTCCATCAATCACACCATAATAATAATCTCCTTATCATCAGCTTTGAACTATCCACAGCTCGTAGAAGCGCACAATATCATACAAGATGAAGTTGTATATCAGCGATTTGTTGAATTGCTGGAAGATTGTGCCATGGAGGGCTCATTATGGCCACAAATTATTGCACGCATTTACGAACTCATTCAATCTCAAAGACCGCAAGTATGGGAGCAGTTGGGCTTACTGCTCGATAGAGTATCTCGGAGTAGGTATAGATCATTATGCCACAACATAGTTCCATCATACCCTTTTGTTGACTGAGAAAATCAATTCCTTTTCCATTGTCTAGCCGATGACAAGCCTACTAATTCAAATCGCGAAGAATTCGTCAAACGCAACTTTCTCGACAGTGGTAGCAGACCAGAATTGGACGCTGACATAGACCGTGCACGTATGGAGCACACGCTAGGATTATAATACTCTTCTTTCATTTTCTTAATAACGGATGGCTTAATAATGTCATTTGCCAGCCCCCCACCCCAACGCATTCATCATCTCCGTACTCAAAAAAGTTGCAGTCATTGCTGTAGATCTCTCATTCATGTAACAAGTACTCGAATTTTATTTTGTAAATAAAAAGATTTGGACCTCATATGATATCTTATCGACTGATGGGAATGGCTAAGCCAACTGAATCCGATTTTCCGAACGATCCGATACTTGATCTCGTTTTAAAGATTGTTGGGCCTGGCCTCATAAGGTTAAAGGCCAACGTTTGACAAACTCTCATTCTTGTATACCGACTGAAACTACGGCGTTGAAAAAGAAAGGCATAGCTATGTTGAAAGAAAATCGCTTGATTGTTCATTGTTCATCCCAAATCCATTTGGAGAAGTAATTCCGCATGCGCTCATCTAAAGAAGGAACAATAGCCAATAGATACGTCTCGTAACAGACATTTGTTCCACGTTATTCTATTACCGTTATTGAATTTACTCCAACTTGGAACAAAGTCATTTCATCAATCAACCAGAATTGTCGATGAAAGCCAGTGAGTGAAAAATTCTTTGAAACCTCGGAGGGATATTGCAGCGTCATGTTTCATGTGGCGTTTCGCGGCAGGTGCATGTCTCGATGGAAACAGATAAAGGTTTTGAAAATATATCAAATGTGCCGCATTACCCATGAAAATAGCCTATTATGACAGAGCGCCTATGCCTTACCAATTTTATTGGTAAATGGTCTCATGGGCAGGCAGGGCAGTGCAAGGCCATGCCTGGCCCATTTCAAATTTTGCATTGTGTGTTGTCCTATGACTTATATTTACCCAAAAAGTCGGGAGCGCGATGCAGATAAAATGAAGCTTAACTGGCATCCTCAGCGATTGTGCTTTGATGATAAAGTTATGGCTGTAGCACTCATACAGCGTTTTCGTCCATGTCAATGTCGTGACTGACTTTGCAAAAGTGGTCGATTTGAGAATTTTCAGTGCAATTTCTTACTTGGGATTTTCTTATGGATAGCACGACCGCTTCTGCGAATTTCTATAGTGAATTTCAGATTGAGAAAGATGGTTCGTTTCAGTCTTTCATATTGATGTCGGCATGTTTCCCGTTTTGACATTTCATCTAGCGATCCAAGAGCAATTGTCTAGATCAAATGAGATTGACAAGGCTCATCTAGATCAACATTTTGAAAGTTTGCTATCGCGAATAAACTCTCTTGAACGCAAACTGACAGACTCTACTGCATTTGTACCTGGATATGATCAGCGCCAGTTTTCCTTGGTAAGCCGACTTAACTGTCAGCATGCTATCCCTGCTCAATGCAGTAGGACAACACTTGCCCTGAAATACTGGTCCATTTATTCATAATGTCATCCAAAATAGGCATTAAAAACTCTAAAAGACAACCTTACAGTACAACGAAGCAATTTAACGCCAAGGACCAAGTTTTCTTTCAAGTCACGGAGTAAAAAAGCCGCAACTGCTATAAACACCAAACAAACTAAACCAGCAGATGGTAATTTGTGCTAAAAAGAGCAATACACGTAGCAAAGTGCGATGAATATGAGGCTCACAGTCGCTAATCAGATGATTTTTCTAGTGAATACTGCTGCGAGCGCAAGAGTGTCCAATACGATCGTACAAAACACCATCAAATACACCGATGTTCAAGATAGCTTCCTTACCTTCCCCCAAGATAGCGATCACAGTATGATGGATGTTTCCATTTCTAATGCTAAGAGGTGTATCATCCGACTTGATGAGAAGCAACATGGCGTTTCCGCTGTCCACATAAAAGATGTCGAAGAATGCGTGATCATTGCTGGTCGCGTGAGTGGATCTATCTTGATCTACGGATGTAAACGATCGATCATTCTGGCTGACTGTCATCAGGTACGTTAGGTTAGAAACTTTTTGAAAGCGATATGGATAACTTTTACACTCAACCACCACCCACCGGTAAATGTTACACTCAGTTTCGTATGCATAATTCCACTACTGTCAAATTGCTACTTTCGGTGAGTAGCCATCCTATCATGGAAGATAGTCAAGATATAGTGATAGGGCCTTATCATGCGCAACCCGCGCTATCGAATGATAACGCTTCACAGGTAAGAGCGGACATGGTGAGGAGGTGTGCTACGTTACAAGAAAGGCTTCTCTAACCGGAACCCGCCCACTTTTCCCAGCACGTTGAGCGGCCTAAAAATTATTATGATCATATGGAAGATTTTAACTGGCTCAAGCAGCAAGAGTCACCAAATTGGCGGCTAATGGATCCTTCTATTGCGAACAAAACAAGTCAAGCTCTCATGCAGCTAGATGCTCCCACCGCCAAAGAAGCGGCTGCGAGTACCGAATACGATCTATATAAAGATTTAATTCCCATGTAGACATAGCATGTTGCCACACGCAAAACATAATGGTGTGAGCTGGGACCATGAACGATACCTCCAGCGGGCCTTGCACAAGTGCAACGTCCAAGATAAACGGTGGGAATTCCGTGTAGAAAGCCATCAAAAAAATACCATACTTATAGATTACTAGAGCAAAATCACTAATAATACTTTAGTTGCTTATGGAAACTTTTTCTTAACTGACCTCCCGTCCAGTGGCGGCGGACTGCAAGATAAATTATTGCGACGCCATGTAAATGTCCCCCCCCCGAACGAAAAAGCGCATGGTCGTTCGCTAGAGAGACCTTAGACATGATTATAAGTGTCAATGAAAGATTCCTGTTGTTTACTTCATTTTCTTCTAATCGTGACAATTTGTACCCTCTCGTGGGAATCAGGGTGGGAACAAAAACGTCAAATGTCCGCATATGGACATGGCAAAGTTTTGGCTATAAAAGTTTGCCCGTTTCAACTGATTTGTCACTTGGTTTTCTTCACCACTCTCATCGTAATGGCCATCATCACCAAAGCTATCATTCAATCTTCTGCATTGTCACGGAGTGTCTTCGTACGCTCATTCTCAGTATCTGCTCTGCGTACTCAGGCTCGGCCATTGGATTCGGAGTTTCCAGTCCTCACCGATCCTCTGATGGAAAACAAGCAGTTGCCATCATTCATGGTAGGAACCGAAAACGGTTTCTTGCCTCGTCAAGTAGGTTGACAACACTGAAATCCAAATGCCTTTGTGATGAGTGAAACTCAAATGTCTATTGTCATTTAAGGAACCTCTATCTCAGCTTCCAGAGCGGTTTGAAAAGTTAGAAAGTCTGCTACAGCGTATGCCGATTCGTTGCAGGGACGGATCTCCAGGTCTTCTTGCTCAAGGACAATTCGGTGATGCTGTCGTAGCTGAGCTTCCTGTATATAACGTTGATGACATTCATGACAATCAACTTCTTTCAGGTACTGAATGCTATGCAATGCATGATTATAAATGAACCCTGTTGACAATCAATCTGTATTTCTCCCAATGTAAACTAGCCCTATTCAGAGATTATACGTTTGCTGCATCCGCTTATCTACTTGAGCCGTGTGACATTATGTATAGATCGAAGGAAGACTATGGCCTGGGTCGTCAGATACTACCCGCCAACATCGCAGTTCCACTTGTTAAAGTGTCTGAGAAGATTCACTCCAAACCCTTCATGGAATAGTAAGTCTATTGTAATTTTCATATAAAAAGATAGGGTTAAGCAGGTGACATTGTTGTCTAATCCTAGCGATCTTGATTGTTTACTTCTGATGATACAGTGCCCTCAGCTACAGGTGAGTGTTTGTGGTCTTCGCCGTCAAGAGACTGTTTACCACGTGACGTGTCACTCATTGATAGTCTTTTTTCTTGTGTCAACTAAACAGTTTATATAATTGGAAGCGACTTAATCCAACAGCTGGCCTCAGTTACGATAACCTGGATATTGTGCGAGGTTTCGCAGGATCTGCTTCAGAGTATGTGAATACTTAACATTCGGCTTACTATTTTTTTTTTTTTAATTCTTATCTCTTGTGATATTAGAGCTGGCTTCATTCTCAATCATGTAACTATGGTGGCATACTCTGGTGACCTTGTCAAACATTCTTTATCCGTCATGGATTCCGTCTCCAACAGTAACCGTGAACAGTTTAATAACTCCATGCGCATGTTGAACCGAACTTACGAATTCATCAACAATGAAATGGAAATGATGTGGTCTCGCAGCGAGCCTGGTGATTATATGAAGTTCCGTACGTTCATCATGGGTACCAAAAATCAGGTACGCATCACAGCTTGTTACTTTATTAAAAAATATAAATCCAACACGTTACTAACAAATTTCTTCAGCCAATGTTCCCCAATGGTGTTGTATATGAAGGCGTTTCTGATACACCTCTCTTCTATCGCGGTGAAAGTGGTGCCAACGACTCCATGGTTCCTCTTGGTGACAACTTGCTTCAATTAACTTCTCACATGCCCAAGAACCCATTGACTGAAGTTCTTCGTGACTTCCGATCTTATCGCCCTACCAATCACAAAGAGTTCTTGGAATATGTCCAAGAAAGGGCCGAACAAGTAGGCGTTCGCGACTATGCGTTGAAGGATGATAACTCTGCAGGTAAGTTGATGCAAAGAATGGTATCTAACTATGCATATATACCTGATTGTTAACCTTTTTTTTTTCTCAGCTCTCTACTTGGCTAATGTCGACCAGATCAGAGCCTTCCGTCACAGACATTGGAATTTCACAAAGTCTTATATTATCAAACATACCCAGCATGCCGTAGCCACTGGAGGCAGCCCTATCACTACATGGTTGCCCAACCAATTAGGCACTGTTCTTGACCAAATGATTCAAGTCGGCAATACCATTAATCGCAATAATTTGACGGAGGAAAACCAAATGGCACTCGATGCCATTTGGAAACGAGCTGAGGCACAGAAGAGAGTTCTTGATAGGGAAGTTGCTACACTAAAGCAGGCCTTCAAGGACCAAGATAAAGTCTAACTTCTCCAGACGTTTCCTGAGTACTTTGATGATAACTAAGTTGACATGCAAATAGTACCACTACTTTCCAACATTAAATTCATTTTTGAACTGAGTGGAGTTGCCTATCTGACTATGAATACTTACAATTTGGCATACTGAGCGTTGTTACATAGCATTATGAACGCGTGTAATATTGACCGCAACAAACCAGCTAACACATTCATTTTTGGATACTTGATCATCTTTTACAACGAAGAATCTCTTCATGTGGCGTCGTTCCATCCGAGTCATACATCATGTTGTTGATTAAGGCGGAGCTTTCATGTTGCCACCGCGGTGATTAGATTTCCATAGCCCCTATATCTTGATGCAATTTGACTCATTGGTGCTGTGTAAAAATGCATTAGCTCATGTTCATCCATTGTCGCGATAGAAGCTGCCGTAAAACGTGCTGTTGATCCGGAGCATTTCTATTCCTTGATAAAATCTTAGTGGTAGGGCCTGATAGTGTGAGACCAATGAAACAATTGAAAAATAGAGCAACTTCGGTGGGTGTGACTCATTTTATTACTAGTGGCCTGACTGCCATTGAAAAATAAAAAAGATCAATAGCATTCCAGCTTTTCTTGTAGATTTCCAAACCTCTCTCTCATTATACAATATGGTAGACGTCCATACATTAGACGGACATGTTCCAACTTATCCTCGCTCTGAAGGCTTGATCGAAACCGATGTCGCTTTACCAGCCCCACATCTACAATCCTCGACTGATCGTAGTAGTCTGCCTCATGTCGGTTCGACCAATGAACCTGACTACTTGCAGATGATCATGACATCCCGGGTATACGATGTTGTTCAGCAGACTGCTCTTCAGCGTGCTGACAATCTCAGCGCTAAGCTCAATGCCAACATCTACCTCAAGCGGGAAGATTTGCACTCGGTTTTTTCGTTCAAGATTCGAGGAGCTTATAATAGAATTGCACACCTTTCGGAAGAAGAAAAGGCAGCGGGTGTTATTGCATGTTCAGCAGGTGAATATAGATAGCGAACTGGCGGTGTGATCGAGAATTGGGAAAGAAGGTTACTGACATGCCCGTCCCTGCAGGTAACCATGCTCAAGGTGTTGCACTAGCGGCAAAAACATTAGGCATAAAGGCTAAAATTGTCATGCCCGTACCAACACCAGCTATCAAGGTAAGATCGAAATGAAAGTATTGCGAATTAGGCCGTTTGATTCTCATACCCAAAAAATAATTGTGCAGTGGCGCAATGTTAAGCGACTGGGTGCCGAGGTGATTTTGCATGGAAACGATTTTGACGAAGCCAAGGCCGAGTGTGTTCGTTTGACCGAGAAATACAAGCACACCAACATCCCACCTTACGATGACCCATATGTGATTGCTGGCCAAGGCACAGTCGGTCTAGAGATTTTGCGACAAATGGATCCTCAAAAAATACATGCTCTCTTCATTCCCGTTGGTGGCGGAGGGTTGATTGCTGGCATTGCTAGTTATGTTAAGAGAATTGCTCCACATATCAAGATTATTGGTGTTGAGGCTAATGATGCCAACGCAATGACCCAGAGTCTTAAGGCGGGTAAAAGACTGGAATTGAGTGAAGTTGGCTTATTTGCCGATGGTGCGGCTGTCCGCTTGGTCGGCGAAGAACCTTTCCGACTTGCCGAAAAGCTGGTGGACGATATGATCAATGTAACCAACGATGAAATTTGTGCAGCCATCAAGGATGTCTTCGAAGGTGAGTACAACCTGAAAATCTCATTATTATCCGGTGTGGGGACCCAGTCAACCACACCTTGTGCCGTATCACCTAAACTGGGATTCTAACTCATCGTTCCTCCCTCACAACTGCGCATTTCTTTGTCACTGTCGATTTCTTGTCACTCCATCATTTCCAATCGATTGTTCTATCCACCGATTTTTGATTGGCTTCAGAAACCCGATCTGTCTGCGAGCCAACCGGTGCACTTGCTTTAGCTGGTATCAAGCGATATCTTCATCTCCACCCAGAATCTCGAGAAGGTGGGCTTGTGGCCATTGTTTCAGGCGCAAACGTCAATTTTGATCGTCTGCGCTTCATTGCGGATCGTGCGCAGCTCGGTGAATTGTCTGAAGCGTTCTGCAATGTTATCATTCCCGAAAAGCCTGGTAGCTTCATCAACATGATTAAGCATGTCAATCCCAGATCCATCACAGAATTCTCTTACCGATACTCGGACCCTGAACAAGCTCATATCTACATTAGCTTCAAAGTACAAGACTTGGAAGCAGAATCCAAAGAAGTCCTGGATGGCTGGAAATCTGAGGGCATGCATGGTTGGGACGTCAGCCATAACGAACTCGCAAAAACCCATGCTAGATACATGGTGGGTGGGCGTCATAGTGTTCCAAATGAGCGCATCTTCCGTTTCAGTAAGTTGGGTTGACCTGTATGAAACCTACTATTGCCGTCATTTAACCCCTGGTCTTTTTGAATAGTCTTCCCAGAACGCCCAGGAGCTACCCAGAAATTCTTGGCAGGTCTGGCTTCTGAATGGAATGTATCTCTCTTCCACTATCGCAATCATGGAGACGGTAAGTGTATTATCATGGGAAAAGTTATAGCCTATGCATGCCGTAAGTCGCTAATCTCAGCTCCATTGTGACTTTCAGATATGGGTAAAGTTTTAGTTGGCATTCAAGTGCCACCTGAAGATAATGCGGCATTTGATCGTTATCTGGAAGAACTCGGATACAACTATGTTGAAGAAACTCATAATGTCGTGTATGAAACGTTTTTGAGAGCGTAAATTGTTTTTGTTCGCTCCCCATTAAATATAATAGAAATGGAGATCTGCAGTTTTGGCCTATCACTTTGTGGCGTATGTGGCGGAGACCATTATGAGAGTGGTAGAAATTACTAAAAAAGTCGCAAGCTGTTTTTGCCTGCTGCTTGGAAGTTTCTTAGGCTTCGTTTTAATGGCGGCGGCAACCAAAATTGAGGATTAGGTACTTAGAAGCTTCCATTCGAATGTTGATTAAGTAGAACTTAAAGAATCATGGGAAGCATTGATGGCATCGATCCCTTTGCGGTATTTGCGGTATTATTATCCTATTTGTATCGTCCTACGCATCTCGTAATTCTCTTGGGAGATAAAAATTAATCTAATTTCTTTTCTATAAAGCTTGTAACTGCGATCCGTCATCGATTTCCCATATTTTTTTTCTTTCACTCCTTTTTCAGACACTACCGCTTTATTATTACCCAGCGTTTGCGTCCTTCTTTTTAAAGCTCCATGCCTATTGAATTTTAAAAAATGACAGGATCTTCGCCAAAACCAGTACCTCCTACCATCATAACCGACCCATCGGCTTTGAATGACCGAACGGAAAACACCCCCGCATTGACATTATATTCTGCTGATGAGGCTAATCTGGAGTCCACCCCTCCATCACCACTTTTCGACCCCGAGCCAAAGCCGGACGATACCAAGTCAACCCATCCTGTAAATATCGAACAACTGCTTCAGCCGCATGAAGATCCACAAAACCCCTTTGCCTTTACAACCGATCAATTGTCTGCTTTATACGATCCAAAAAACATTGAACTTTTGGCCGCATATGGTGGACTAGAGGGCATAGCACAGGGCCTACACTCCAATGTCAGAGATGGTCTGAGCAACGATGAAAATGCTCCGTTTGAACCTATAACGTTATCTGCACTCACCGACAGCCATGATGATACCGAAGAATGCAAGCTTGAAGCGAATAACGGTGGTGCTACCAAAGAATCGGTAACGCCTCCACCAACACAGCATACCACCTCGGGAACTCGCTTTGGTCAGCGTCAAGCTGTTTTCGGTTCTAATATCTTGCCCGATGTCAAAGCCAAAAATATTTTTCAACTCATGTGGATGGCTTTCAACGATAAAACTTTGGTATGTATAATTCCACCTCCCTGTCTTGTGGAATTTGAAATACACTGGATGACCAGCTCCCCCCTCCCCCACTTTCAATCTTTTGTATTAACCCTACCTCCCTAAATTCTTTGTCCCAAAATTAGATCCTATTGACCATTGCTGCGGTTGTGTCATTAGGTGTTGGTTTATACGAAGATATTGGCGCACCGCCACAGCTCGACGCAAATGGAAATCCTGAACCAGATGTTCACTGGGTGGAAGGTGTGGCTATCATTGTGGCTATCATCTTGGTTGTCACCGTTGGCAGTGTGAATGACTACCAAAAGGAAAAGCAATTTAGAAAATTGAATGCCAAGAAAGAAGACCGCGATATCCGAGTAAGTTGTTGCTTTCCTGAAATAGAGATAGAATTTTTTTGGCCACCGCTAGACCAAAATGTTGTGAACCCCAACAGGATAGTATTTTTTTTGCTGACCTCTTGGCACTTTGTTATTAGGTCACAAGGTCTGCTAAGCAAGCCATGATATCCATTCGAGATTTACAAGTTGGCGACGTGCTTCATTTAGAACCGGGAGAAATCATTCCAGCCGATGGTATATTTATAGAAGGTCACAATCTAAAGTGTGACGAATCGACTGCGACGGGTGAAACAGATGCCGTCAAGAAGCAAGGTTGGCGTGAATGCTTCCGGTTACATGAAATCTACCAACGTCAACATCCAGATGATGGCCGTAGCGTGAGTGGCGCAAGTGGTATCAGCAAACCTGACTCTCCCAGCACGTTGGTCCCCACTCCCACCGCCACTACTCAAGGCAATAAGCGACTCAGCGTTCAAGGCAACTTTTTGGCTCCTCCTTCACCTGGACAAAAGGAAAGTTCTTCAACACCATCTTCTTCAGCTGTTTCTACCACTTCTTCCGAACCTGTCTTTGAAGCCGGTGCTCATTTGCCTGATCCATTCTTGATTTCTGGAAGCAAAGTGTTGGAAGGTGTTGGAACGTACATGGTGACTAACGTTGGAGAATCTTCCTTCAATGGTAAGACGTTGATGGCCCTGCGCACTGAGTCACAAAGCACACCTTTACAAGAAAAGTTGGATGGTCTCGCTGAGATGATTGCTAAACTTGGCTCAGCTGCTGGTATCCTCATGCTTTTGGTCCTATTGATCCGATACTTTGTGGGCTGGAAATACAATGGTATTCCCAGCAGTCCTGCCAAGATTGTTGAAGACATCATGAATATCATCATTGTTGCCATCACCGTCATTGTTGTGGCTGTTCCGGAAGGTCTCCCTTTGGCTGTCACCCTAGCTTTGGCTTATGCCACGCAAAGAATGTTAAAGGACAACAATCTCGTTCGTGTCCTCGCTGCTTGTGAAACCATGGGCAATGCTACCACTATCTGCTCTGACAAGACTGGTACCCTCACCCAAAACGTCATGACAGTGGTCGCCGGTACGTTGGGAAATTCATTCCGATTTCAAAAGGAAGTTCCATCTTCCCGAAACGACTTGGTAGCCTTAAAGGATGTCAAGGAAAAGGCTCCCATTCCTGTCGCTCTCCTCATTAATCAAGCAGTGGCTGTCAACTCAACTGCCTTTGAATCTACTGGTGACGATGGCAAGGTGACTCTGCTTGGCAATAAGACCGAAACGGCCCTTCTTGGATTCTCTCAATCTCTAGCTGACAATACATTGACTCATCAACGATCAAGGTGGGGCGTTGAACAAGTCTTCCCATTCAGTTCAGACCGCAAGGCCATGGCCACAGTTATTCGAATTCCTCATTTGGATGATCATGGCAAGGAAGTCAAGGTCACTTACCGTGTCCACATCAAGGGTGCCTCCGAAACCCTTCTTGTTCGTTGCTCCAACATTGTATCTATGCATGATTCATCTTACCGCTATCAGACAGATATCAATGAGGATGATTTTGAAGTCAAAGTCCGAGAAATGACGGAAGATAGCCACACCCGTATGAACAAGATCATCCAGAGTTATGCCTCGCGATCTCTCCGAACGATTGCTCTCTGCTATAGGGATTATGATCACTGGCCGCCAAGAAAATCCAGAAAGTATTTCCAAGATGAAGAGGTCGAAGTGCCTTATGAGGATCTTGTGGGCGACAATCAGCTCACCTTCATCGGCGTTGTCGGTATCGAAGATCCTCTCCGTCCTGGTGTCAAAGATGCTGTACTGGCTTGTCAAAGGGCTGGTGTTTTTGTCCGCATGGTCACTGGTGACAATATGACTACTGCTAAAAGTATTGCCAAGCAATGTGGTATCTTTACCAGCGGTGGTATCGTCATGGAAGGTCCTGTTTTCCGAAATCTCCCTCCAGCTGAAATGGATGAAATCATTCCACGTCTGCAAGTGTTGGCTCGCTCCAGTCCTGAAGACAAACGCATTCTTGTTGGTCGTCTCAAGGAACTAGGTGAAACTGTCGCTGTCACCGGAGACGGAACTAATGATGCACCTGCTCTCAAATTGGCCGACGTTGGTTTCTCTATGGGCATTACTGGTACTGAAGTTGCCAAGGAAGCATCTAGTATCATTCTTATGGACGACAACTTTAGTAGTATTGTCAAAGCTGTCTCTTGGGGTCGCTGTGTTAACGATGCTGTTAAGAAGTTCTTGCAATTTCAAATCACCGTCAATATCACTGCCGTACTTCTTACCTTTATCTCTGGTGTGGCTTCCTCCAGCCAAAAGTCTGTCTTGACGGCTGTCCAACTACTTTGGGTTAACCTGATCATGGATACCTTTGCTGCTTTGGCTCTGGCAACCGACCCTCCGTCACCTGAACTCCTTTTGCGAAATCCCGAACCCCGTTCCGCGCCTCTCATCACCTTTCCAATGTGGAAGATGATCATAGGTCAAAGTATCTTCCAAGTCGTCGTGACTTTGATTCTACTGTACAGCGATATCTTGGATTATCCTGCGGACAGCGAGTTTTTACAAACCGTTGTATTTAACACCTTTGTCTTCTGTCAAATCTTCAATGAGATCAAGTAAGTATATTAAAACCCTCTTTTTTTAATTTTTACAAAAAAAAACGTGCATATACTCACCTTCTCTTGTAGCTGTCGTCGTATTGATAACCGCATGAATATCTTTACCGGCCTTCACAAAAACTTCTTCTTTATTGCCATCTTCCTCATTTGCGCTGTCGGTCAAGTTATCATCGTTCAATGGGGCGGCCAAGCATTCCAGACCACTCCTCTTGACGGCACCCACTGGGCTATCAGCATTGTTGTTGGCCTTCTATCTATTCCCATCGGAGCCGTGATTCGAATGATTCCCGACCGAATCTTCTCCATATTTATCATTAACGAAAACACGCGCATTCAATATCTAGAGCCAGACAAGTTGCTATCTTCCAATAGAACTCCTTCAGTCTATGTGGCGGGAGGAGAACGATTTGCATGGAACAGTGCGTACACCAACGTTACACGCGAAATTGCTAATTTCCGTGAGCCAAAGAAAAGCGATGGCCATCTCCACCGTAGACGTTCAAGCAATGCCTTAGCGGCAGCTATCATACCAAGCTTTATTGCTACTGCTCCAGGAGCTGGTTGGGTAGCCTCCAAGGAAGACGGATCTCAGCAAGATCACTTTGCTACTCAAGATACCAACAACTCTTTTATTGATATAGAGCGAGCGGAAAGGACTTCTGAAGACCAAACCGAAAGCATCCCACAGCAAGATTCCAAATAATCTCATTTCTATAGCTTTTCTTTTTTGTTATTCTTGCCATTTTTTTTTTAGCTATCTGTGTGTTAAAAAGCTCTTACCTTAACTGTACATAACTGCGTAAAATAAATTCTAGAGCAACAGGCGGCACCCAATTTTTCTTTTAGCGCCTTTGTTCAATGATGAAAAAGACTTACAATCCACGGATGGCGTCATAATACAACCTCTGTGGTTCCAGGAATAAGCTTCCCATGCTTTTGTTCAGCTGACCGAAATTATATAGGCGCAACGAAAGCCCAAAAAAATAGGTTGTCGTCACCCCAATTTTTCGCAAAAATTGTTTCAACACCAGACAAAAGTACTAGTGTCCATTAGCCTTGAGCTTCTCATTCCCACAACTGATGTCCGGATTACAACTCACAGAATTTGTAAAACGGCCAGACGTTGGTAACACTGGTCGTGCTACTCGCGTTCGTGCCAACTTTTTTGAAGTCCAAAGCTTCCCTCAGAACAATATACACCATTACGACGTCACCATTACTCCCGATGTACCTCCCGTCATTAACAGAAAAATTTGGAAAACGTTCGAAGATCAAGATGGTCAAGGTAGCCTTAAGGGTATTAAGCCAGTCTATGATGGTCGCAAGAATATTTTCTCTCCAAAAGCTCTTCCTTTGGAGGATAATGCAGGAATGTTTGAGGTACATATTTCACCATCTTGTCAACTGTTTTCCTTACTTCGAAACCGAACAAGACAAACAAAATTCCCTGATATCTTTGAATATTCGTACGGAAACTGGCCATCAACTAGCATATACCAATGACATGCATCTTAGCGAAAGACTGCCTATGGATATGTCTTCTCGATCTGTCTTCCCTCCTTTTATTTCAATTTTATGAAACATCGGAACTTCTACCTTCAATACCGCACCGCGGGATCTCTCAACTCGATACTTATTATACTACTTTTATCAACTCGTAGATCACTCTTCCCGAAGATGATGCAAGAGCCTCTTCATCCAAGCGCCCTCCTCGTATCTTCAAGCTCAAGATCAAGAAGACTGGCGAAGTCGTCATGGAAGAACTACGTCGGTTCCTCAGTGGCCAAGGTGCTTGCACCAGCGGTTGCTTGACAGGTAACATTCAGCTCACCAGATGAAACCTTTTCGATTATTTGTATATTAACTGCATCTCATGCGCCAGCTATCATGGTTCTGGACGTCCTTATACGCCACTTGCCATCTATGACTTACGCGACTGTCGGTCGTTCTTTCTTCACACCTCAGGATGCCAAGCCTCTGGCTAACGGTGCTGAAGTCTGGCAAGGTTTCTACCAGTCTGCTAGACCCGCTGTTGGTATGTTCCTTGTAATAGTTGGAGAGTCATAAACACCTTACTCACTTTCTTAATCAATTCCCAAACATGATTTTAAATGTACAGGTAGAATGATGGTCAACGTCGATGTCTCTGCCACTGCTTTTTATGAGAGCGGTCCTTTGCCACAGATGGTTGTCAAGATCCTCAACTGGCGCACCGTAGATGAACTTCGCCGTGGTATCAGCGACCGTGATCGTGTCAAACTCGAAAAGGTTCTCCGTAGCTTGAAAATCAAGGTTGTCCACCGTGGTGAAAACAACCGTCGCTATAAGATTTCCAAGTTGACCTCCACACCAGCAGACCAGACTTTCTTCAAAGTTGGCGACTCTGAGGAAAAGCAAGATGTGGCATCCTATTTTAACAAGACCTATGGCAAGAAATTGAGTTTCCCCTTCCTGCCTTGTGTCGTCGTCCAAAACAGCACTTTCTTGCCCATGGAAGTTTGCGAAGTCGTCCCTGTATGCATCTCTGCTTTCCTTGATTTTTTCCCCTCCATTCATATTGACTGACAGACCGATTATTTTATTATATAGGGACAACGTCACATGAAGAAGCTCAACGAAAAGCAAACCGCCGAAATGATCAAGTTTACTTGCCAAAAGCCCAATATGCGTGCTAACAAGATCAGCCAAGGTCTGAATCTATTGAACTACAAGGACAACGATTATATGCAGCAATTTGGCATGTCTGTCAAGCAAGATATGGCTGTCGTCAATGCTCGCATTCTTCCCACTCCGACCGTTTCCTACAACCCCTCAACTCGTGATGGTGCTTTTGTACCTCAAGGCGGTGCTTGGAATTTGAGAGGAAAGCGTGTTGCTCAAGGTGCTACACTCGGATCTTGGTCCGTTGTTTGCTTCACCAATGAGCGTATTGTTCCTATGCAAGATATACAACGTTTTGTTCGTGAAATGTGCACCACTTTCATGGACACTGGTATGGTAAGTTATAAACGACGAATTTGTTAGCCTATCCCTGTCCTTTTATATTATCATTTTTTGCGTTTCACATGTCTAACCATGCACTTTTTCCCCTCCACAATAGAATGTTGTCAACAAGACACCTCCGATCACTCACGCTGATCCTCAAGGAAACATTGATCGTACCCTAAAGGAGGCTTGGCTTAAGGCTGGTAATGCTGCTAAGGCTGCACCTCAACTGATTGTCTGCATTTTGCCCAATACAGGTGTTCCTCTCTATGCTGAAATCAAGCGTATCTCCGATACTGTCATTGGAGTTGCCACGCAGTGCGTCCAATCCAAGCATATCCATGATGCCAAGAAGCAATACTGCGCCAACGTTTGCTTGAAGGTTAACTTGAAGCTCGGTGGTATGAATTCTTTCATCGTCCCACAACAAATTCCTTTCATCTCGTCTCGGCCCACCATTCTTTTCGGTGCTGATGTCACTCATCCTGCTCCCGGCGATATGAACAGACCTTCCATAGCTGCTCTTTGTGCCTCCATGGACGCTCGTGCTTCACGCTATGCCAGCTCTATTCGTGTTCAAGCCAACCGAACGGAAATCATTGCTGATCTTGCCAACATGGTGAAGGAACTCTTGAAGACATTCTATCAATCATCTGGTCAAAAGCCCGAACGTATCTTGTTCTATCGTGATGGCGTTTCTGAAGGTCAATTCAAGCAAGTGTATGACAATGAAATTGCTGCCGTTCGTGCCGCTTGCACATCTCTTGATGCTGACTACAAGCCTACCATTACCTTTGTCGTGGTTCAAAAGCGTCACCACGCTCGTTTCTTCCCCATCGATCAAAATGACACTGACCGCACCGGTAACTGCTTACCAGGCACGGTTGTAGATACCAATATAGTTCATCCCTTTGAATTTGACTTTTACCTGCAATCTCACGCCGGTCTTCAAGGAACATCTCGCCCAACTCATTATCACGTCCTTTATGACGACAATAAGTTTACTGCCGATCAACTTCAAGATTTGACTTACCGACTTTGCTATCTCTATGGCAGAGCTACCCGTGCTGTTTCTATTGTTCCTCCTGCGTACTATGCTGATTTGCTTGCCACTCGTGCTCGCTTCCACTCTCGCGGTGAACACTGGTCTGACACTGACGCTACTTCCGAAAGCATGGATGGCGAAGGACACATGGCCAGCTTCGGTGTTGTTAAGCCTGAATTGCAGAAAGTCATGTTCTTCATGTAGTTTCGTATTTCCATACTAAAACAAAATCACTACAATATTTCTCCCCTCCCTCCCTTTCGACTTTTTATTTGTACCCTTTTTGAATGTTCAGCTTTTCCGGTTCATAAAACTACACCTCGCAACTCCCTTTACTCGTCCGATTTATGCTTTGGTTTCAGGTTTTGTATGCCATAGTTACTTCTCCCCTTCCGTACATGTCAAATCTGTATCCTTCTTCTGGTTTCGGGTACAGGTAATCGTCTGATTGACATGACGTTATATCCCCTAATCACTTTTTCGAATACATTTTCCTCTTTTCTTATTATAAAAAAGTTCTTTATTTTGATAATTGCTTAACAGGTATCCTTTTGTTGACGGGGGGGGGCAGTTGTAATGTAGAGTGAAGTGAGGTTTGTAAATCTATTTAATAGTGTGTCGTTTGTTGAATTTGCCAGTGGGTTTTCGGTAGGTTCGCTTGCCTGTCAATATATCAACATAATCTCTCTTTTCGACCTCTTCTTCCTTCTGCTTCAGAGGGGTTTCCGCATTAGCTTTAGTGTCACCCATATCGATGTCTTGGTCGGCGATGTGACCTTCCTTCAGCGTCTGTTCGAGCGCCTTCTTCGCTTCTTCTCGAACGTTGGCATGCTTCTTGTTTTTGGAAATGCCTCCATCCACTGGAGCAATGGTGGGGTTCAAAGCTCGCTGTTCCTTTTCCTTTCGGGTTGGTCGTTTAAAGAACTTTGCGCTACGTCCCATGGTTGTTCAATGTAGATCAAGTGGGGAAATGAATCAAACGGTGGATCGGATCGCAAGCCCGTTAAGTAAAAAAAAAAAAATTCACCCCCCGAGCTGGGACGGCTTTGTTTGACAGGTGCCTGTAGCCTTCAGCGCGGCCAGCGTATCTCCATTGTATCCATTACCTCTACTAAAAGCTGCGTTGCTCAGATGATGCTAACGTTGGAAGAGACTGTCTGTTCAGAAAAAGTGTTTTATTTATTTAGTATCAGAGCAATGTCTTCAGGGCGTGAGTAGCACATCAATATGTCTGACCTAGATCAGAGACATGAAGTGCTATAGCGCAATGCATTTTAATAGCAATTCCCTCAGCCTTAAGAGCCGAAAAATATCTGATGTTGATGTTAAATCCAATGCCCATGATAGATACTATCTTAAGAACCACCCTGATAGTTTCTTGGCGGTGATCAACACTCCATTCATGGTTACTTGGGAATAAAGGATACTCATCAGAAACACAATGTAGCCACTTATCAACTCTAGCGCAGGTCAGACATTGCAAACTCACAAAATACTAAACAATTTGTATCTAAAAAAACATTACATCGATGTCTCTAATGCTTACAAGTGGTAGGGGTCATGGTATTTAAAGAAGTGTCAAGCAGTACATTCGCCAATGCCAATGCTGCAAAAAATTTATGAGGCTGAGATATCACGTGGACGAGCGAAAACAAGCAAGAAAAAAATTATTATTTACCTCGAAGAAGTCGACGTCAAAAAGTTGGAATTCCTTCTCTTTCACTTCCTCTATCATGTCCTTCACCCTTGAGACTTCTTTGGCCAACCACATCCTTAACGGTTTCTTCGAAAACGCTTCCTACGTTCAGGGGTAAGTATTCGATATTTTCGAAAGAGAAAAAGATAGATTCGCGTTATGGCTGCATATGGCTATTCCTGCATTCCTCAGACTCGGATCTATCAGCATACTCTCATCTATGAGAACATGAGTTCGCTAATCTCACGTTCTGTTCGAATTTTAGCTTCGAGGCCTCTGCTGCCGACAAGAAGGTCTTCGAGAGCCTTTCCGAAGGTCCCAACGCCGAACAATTCCCCCATCTTGCCCGTTGGTACAAGCACATTGCTGCTGTCAACGGTTTGACCACCAAGTAAGTCAACATAGAGCTAAATGAGGCGAAAGATATTTTTACTTACCTGTCGAAATCAATAGGACTGCCGCTGCTGCTACTGCTTCCGCTGCTGCTGAGGAGGATGATGAAGATATTGATCTTTTCGGTTCTGACGACGAAGAAGTCGATGAGGCCGCCGAGAAGCTCAAGGCTCAACGTCTTGCTGAGTATGCTGCCAAGAAGGCTAACAAGCCCAAGACCATTGCTAAGACCACTGTCACTCTCGATGTCAAGCCTTGGGATGATGAGACTGATATGGACGCTTTGACTGCCGCCGTCAAGGGTATTGAGTTGGATGGTTTGGTTTGGGGTGGATCCCAACTCGTTGCCATTGGTTACGGTATCAAGAAGCTCCAGATCAACTGCGTTGTTGAGGATGACAAGGTCAGTAATTGCTCCTATCAAAATTGGCCATCATCCGGCACGTGTTAACTTTCTTAATTTTTTTTATCTCTGAAAAACAGGTTTTGCTTGACGACCTTTCTGACAAGATCACTGAGTTTGAGGACTTTGTTCAATCCGTCGATGTTGCTGCTATGCAAAAGATCTAAGTAGTTGCATATTGTATATGTCTTCAATAAACCACCACCAAATGCCTTTTTCACAGATGATACTTTTGTATCGATAGGCCAGGCCGTTCTGACGGGTCCAAATTTATTATTTTTTTTTGTTGTGAAATTTTTCACATGTGTTGGGCCCAAAAGCTTCATTCTTTCTCTCTCTCTCTCTGTCCTCTTCCCAAATGCAATATGTTTATAATACCATCTTTACGCCATCACCAAAATCCGGCCAGCAATCTTGCTCACGGACCAACCCAAAACGACCGTTAGACCGCTCCGCCAGCGACTCACTGAGTGATAACCGCTATCAGTTGGTCGACGAGATATTGGCCGCAACCTCGTATTACAGCGTGCTCGGCATAAGTAGAAAGACCAGTCCTGAAGATGTTCGAAGAGCCTATATCAAGGTAGCGTTTTGTGCGCATTTCTTTGTCATAACCCGTTGCCATACGACGTTTCGTAATTTTTTGACACAACCTCTCATGCTTTCAACCGACCTGATTTTTTTATTTTCAAACAGAGGAGTAGAATTTGCCATCCTGACAAATTTGTTCCGCCTTATGATAAGGCCACAGAGGCTTTCCAACGTGAGTTTTTCATGATCCCAACCCGATCTGTAGACGTCGTATTCAACAACATCTATTTTTGTAGGGTTGTCAATAGCTTACGAAACGTTAAGCGATACCAGTGCTAAACTTATCTACGATATCTCCGGTCCATCCAATCGACCCTCTTTTGCTGATGCTGCCACCGTAGATGGTAATGAAACATTACAAGCTCTTTTAAAGCAAGTAAGTAGAATGGTCTGGATGCGGGTAGAGAGAGAGAGAGGTATTCCTCCTTTATGAGTATGTATTCACCTCCTCGCTACGTCCCTTTAGCTATTTGTGGAAATGATGGATGGAGAGTTTAATACTATGCGCTCTTTCATGAGTATGTTGCTATCTTAATGTGTGGCCAATGACCACCAGCTCGTATCTAATTATCGTTTTGAGTAGTTGGCTTGTCTCGAAGTAATCCGTCCATACAATTCACGGAAGAAACCATCGTCAGCATCGAAATATCACTACGTAGAGTACGCGACATGATCTTATGTAAGTCCCCCCTCCATGCACCTGGCTGGTTTTTGCAATAGTGACTAAAAATTTCATGTTGTCTTATAGCCACGAAAAAGTATTTCAAAGTTGTCCAGTTTGAATTAATGCGGCTGTATGAACTACAACATGAGCTTCGAGCTCTATCTTACTTTGACCTTATGAGACGCATGCGGGTCACCATCACCATGTTCAAAGTTATCTTGTCGCTTCCCATCATGATCAACCTGGTTAGCAAAGGTCAAATCGCTGCTCCTGTCTCTACTGGAAATTGTAATGATATACGAACAGCATCCGCCCCTCCCTCCACATCGTCCGATACAGAATCGACGACCGATTCAAAGGATGGTGGCATACTCGGTGACCGAGTTGAATCGGCTCTGAGAGTGGCAGTTGGATTCCTAGACGTGATATCCAGTAACAATTAGACAATTGAAGACCCTTTCAGATATCCTCACCTAACCAAACCAAAATTTTCTCATTCACCGTAATTTACTCCTATATTATATTTCATGTACTTTCTTGCATTCAGCACTTGTTCTCTCTCCCTCCATCTTCTCACCCCACTTTCATACTACATGTTGGGTCCTTCCAACCTGACGGTTCATCGAACCTTACCAATAAACATTTCAACCATGTTCTACCTGCCACAATGGCTGGCTTGTTTGTTGGAAGGAGCTCGGGATGCCGATAAAATGTTCGCTTGGCAAAACGAATGAATGGTGGGTTGATCCAGAGGCGCCACCATGATTGGTTTAGGTAGGTTGCAAGCATCACATTGGCTGCTAGAAACAGCAACACGAGCCTCCTTGTTGGAGTGGCGGCCAAGCGGAGCTTATAGAGAAAAGCCAAATTTAGAGCCAAAGTATGGCCTTGGCTGCTCAGCCTTGTCACATCAAATAAAAGTCAACATGAACGGAGTCTTGCACCGCCACTTCTCTCTCTCTTCCTCTCTCTTCCCTTATGAACGTCGACCGTTTGGCAGAACTTAACCGAGGCAACCAGTCTGCGCCTAGCCAACATGTAGAGATGAGACCTCTCATGGCTCCTCCTTCCGACCCTCAGTCCACACAAGGTTTCTTGGACCAAATATCACAGCTGCAAGATGTCATAAAGGGCATCAATGAAAACATCTCCAGACTTCGAAGTCTTCAGCAGAACTATCTTCAGACCTCTGACGAAACTCAGCAGTCTCGGTTGAGGTCGCAAATCACCAGCATGAACGACGATACTAACCAGATGATCAAATCCGTCAAAGACCGCGTCAAGGCTATTGAACCTACCCCAAGACATCCCGATCTCGGTATCCGAAAAAATCAGTTTGCCAATGTTAGCAAGAGTTTTATGGATAGCATAGAAAGGTACGTTCAGGAGGTTATTTTTTTTTTCTTTTTAGTGAAAATGACAAAAACTGACATCTATTTAGGTATCGTGGCTTGGAAATTGAATTTCAAAAGCAAGAGGCACAACAGCTGGAACGACAAATCAAAATCGCAAACCCTAATGCGACATCCGAAGAGATTGATCAGGCTGTCCATGATGCTCAGACCGGGTCACGTCCTGTGTTTGCCCAGCAGTTATTAGGTCAACGATACCAGGCGCAGGAGACTTTAGAGAATGTGACTCAGCGCCATGAAGAAATTCAAAAATTGGCCCAGAGCATTAACCAGCTTACCGAGTTGTTCCAGGAGATGCAAGGACTGCTGGAAAACCAGGCACATGTCCTCAACACCATCGAGGCGAGCAGTTACGAGGTGGTCAATGAGGTCGAAAAGGGAAACCTGCAATTGAATCAAGCAGTCACTCTGGCCAAAAGCACCCGAAGAAAGAAGTGGATTATGTTTGCTATCATTGCCACTATCATCATTGTCATTGTCATTATTGTCGTTGTGAAGTTGGTTCCTCAGAACAAGCAATAGTCAACTCCAACGAAACGAATTGAATGCAGTTAGCCGACGGGGTCCAACCCAAATGACAGAGTATAATCCCTGTAATATCTTTCTCTTATGTTCTTCCCACTCAGTTGTTTCGTTTTTATCATACCAGCACCGCCCTGCATTACTTTATTGTATACCACCATCCCAAAAAAAACACATTTTTACATGCTCAACTTCTTTTTTGTATCGTGTTGGGTTGGGATGGGAGAACTTATTGCCCCGCTATGTTAAAAATATGTTGCGGTATTAAAAATGTTCTTACTCCGTGATCCATTACGTTAAGGCGGTCTGTCTGCCCAATTGTTCGGCCGAAAAAATCTCATTTTCTAGGCTCTTCCCTTCTTGGAATCCTTTTCCAGTAGTTCTGAAACGGCAATTTGGTTCGTTCCATCTGGCTTCTGAGATACTTGAAGAGTAGACGAGCTGTGACGACGCTTAACGTCCTGTCGATGCTTTAGTTTCTTCTCAGCAAGTCTCTTATGAATCAGGGCCAAGTAGTCCGCTTCTTCCTGCTTTGACTTTTCAACTCGTTGCTTCTTCAGAGCCTGCATTCTTCTTTTGCGTTGCAAACGTCGCGGAGTGATCAGTCGTTGGATTTTAGGAGCCTTCGTATAGGGCTTTTCCCCTTCTTTCTTGGGATAAACGGTTCGACGAATCACATATTTCCGTACGTCATCTGCCTTGCCAAGGTTCTGGGGAGGAATCGTTTCAGAAAAAAAAAAAGGTTTTAACGTTATAGAGTGAAAAAGGGTTGAGATCTCACGAAGAATTTCCGAATGTGGTTTGCTCGTTTAGGACCCAATCGATTAGGGATAGAGTTGTCAGTCAGACCTGGAATGTCCTGGGGGCCCTGCTTGACTATGACCAGAGACATAACCGAGAGGTCAGGCGAGGTAACGCAGCCTCTCACTGATTTTCGTTTGCGCTCACCATCCCTTCTGGGTCTGTAACACGAGTCGCCTTGAGATAACAACAAACGAACTCGATTTTGAGTTAAAACGCCCTGTTTCATTGGGAATCCTTGTTTGTCATTTCCACCGCTGATGCGAAAAAGGTAACCTTTGAACTCATCGCCTAGACGGTCCCCTGCCACGACGGTCGACATGCGCTTGTCCATAAAGTCAGATCTAATGACATACAAAGTTAGAATTTCATACTCTGGACCGACCGGCAGCTGTTTGATTACACGTACAGGCGGTGCTCATCTGTTACCTCAATCAGCTTTTGGCAACCAGTCGCGGGATTTGCGATATTGAGCTACAGTACCACGGAACAGCAAAAGGATTCAGCATTTTGGCTTTGGGGGGAGGAAATAAAGGGGGGGGGGGATAGAGAGAGAACATGGTATGGCATGGTAGTACGGTACCAACCGTCCACATACCCACACACGTCTCCTCTTCTATACTTTTCTCTCCTTCCTTGGGACATTCTTACCTTCATACAATTGCAAAAAAAAAACCGTAAGAAAAAAAAGAAATAAACTATATCATTCCTGCGTTGGCCCTCGTTCATGTTAAAAAAAAATGTGTAAATCATGATGATGATGTTACTAGCATGAATCATAAAGCAAAAACAATGCGGTTGGTGACGTTGATTGTACAGTGTGTGTTCTCGTGGATCGACTCCCCCAAGATCACGTAGTGGAGGTTGTTCCGTTTGGGTCAGCAGCCAACAGTTACTACATAATTTTTTTCCAACCTCCGATTTTTTATCCCACTACAGCACATTAAACCGGATAGCTTCAAATCTGAGGCGACGCCTCCTCAATCTGAGCACGAATCATCAAAGTTAATGCACAAATCATTGACCTTGGAAAAAAATTATGTTGTATGACGATACTGTTATAATTTCCGAGTACCTTGCCTCATCTTTTTATAAAAAAAAAAAAAAAAAAGCTATTAAAAGTTCGTTCAAATGGTATTTTGGTTGGGTGGGGTGCTATACATCAAGAGATTTGGGAGGGGGAATACTATTGCTACAAATGAAATAAGAGTCTATACCAAGTTGTTCAACAATTGGATGTACTATACAGGAATGCTATGTACGAGAAGGCAAAAGAAGAAAGAAAAAAAAATCTACAACGCAAGTGACAGAAGTCCTTGCTGTTGACGATAGCTTAAAGCAGTTTGAGGTCTAAAATAAATTGGTGTAGGTTGTACGGGGGCTATACTGGGCATAGAAGTCCAACTGGGTAACAATTTTTCTGACGGTAGGAATAATGAGGATGATTCACGTTGTTGTTGTTGTTGTTGTTGATTTTGTTGTTGTGGGTATTGAGAATAACGACCATATGTAACTGGTATAGTTACAAATGGGTCGTAGCAGTCAGAGATTGTTGGAGTGTAGACCGGGGTGTGCGGTCGACTATCATAAAATTGACAAGTTGACGATGCGGAAGGTAGCCTTGAAGACCGTACAATAGGAGGTAGGATATTATTGCTGTAATGATATCCTGTGTCATCCGGTGGTGGGGTGTTTGGCAGGCAAATTCGTTTCGTTGGTGTGGGTTGAACCACACCAGCCGATGACCGTTTGAGGGAGGTAGGGAGAATTGGTTGTGACATTGAATGAACTAAAGGTGGTAAGACACTTTTCCCTAGTACAGCTCCTGTTGTTGATCGCACTGATGATTTGTTAAGTGACTTCCCCAGTAGAGTGGTAGGGGTCTTGATGGGTCGATATTTACGTCGTGAATCCATGGCTATGAGATTATCACATTCCGATATCCATGCCAAGTATTGTTCTTCGCTAACATAGACATTGTAATCTAATGCTGATAAAAATTCGATTTCCATAATGTTGAGTTCATTGACGGGAATATTGGATACTTCAGACCAAGTCTACAGGGAATGATGGTGTGTGAGTGACCAATGAAAAAAAATAAAATATGCGACCTCGAATCATCCGGCCTACCTTATTCGTATACGTGTTATCATCTAAAAACTTATTGGCGAGAATCAAACTCGTTGTAAATAGGCGAAATTCCGAACCAACGGAGCCTTTGATGCTGGGGTAGCATGACCGTAAAACTCGAATGTATCTCAGACTGACCAGTATACAGGAACTGGATATTTGAGTGGCGGATATTACGTCTTTACAGAAACTTCTGAACATTGAATATCGCTTGGAATCGACGGTTGAGGTGCCTAGCTTGGCCCATCCGTCGCCCCATATACATGGCACGACAAAAGCGCAAAAGTCGGCTAGTTGGTCAGGATTATTGGAGCTGAGGGTTGGCATGACCGGCAAACGATGGCTTTCTGGAAACGATGGTATCCCTTTTATGAAGGACATGGTGGTCGTTTGTTGGAAGGAAGGAAATAAAGAGAAGAGAGTGGAAAAGGAGAGGGGGGAATGTACAGATGGGTTCTTCCAAGACTTTTTTGAATTAAAAAATGGCGGGTCCAGTATAAATCGTCCGCCGAAGCGTAGTTCATTGTTGGA